TTTGCAAGTCAAGTTCCTTTGAGCAAGTGTAGATAGGAGAGCCTCTAATCTTGCAAACGGGCGCATAGTGTTGTATTTCCGCCTCGTTTCACTGCAATATTGTGCATTCTGCCTTCGGTGACTCTGTCATCCTCTGACTTGTGGCTCGTATTATTGTTCACACGTCTTCACAGCACCCCGAAGACACACTCCATGTTGCTGCCATGGAGAGAGCAACTCAGGGAAATATATGCAAAGATAAAGAGCCGAGAAGTGAGGGTGTTTCTCTGACCCTTTGCGACTTGGATTTCACCCGGCGGAAGTCACCGATGGCGGGTGTTTATGTTACACAATGATGACAATGTCACCATCATAATCCCACCCTGAAAATCTCCTGACCTAATCAAAAAAAAGAGAAAAGCAAGGAAAGAGACTGAGTGACAAAAAGCACAATCGTTGGCAATCAATGTGTGGAAAGAGGAGACAAAGTCAATGACCTGGAATATATTTGAATTGAATCAGTGTCACAATTTTGAGTTGAAAGCTCTCTCCCTTGCAGAGGAATATAAACCACATTTGAGTGACTTTTATCGGGAAGCCCTATTCATTTAGTCATCCTTTCATAAGCTTCAATGAACTGCTCTGAAATAATTCACTCTCTATTTAGTCATTCATGTGAATATACTATCAAAATAGATATTTTGGCAAAGAGTTCAGTGACTCCCAGTAGATGGATAATTTCCTTTTATATAATTTCTTGACATTTGAATGTTTTTAAATTCATAATTCATGTTTTAAAAGTAGGTCAGTTGGAAATATAGCGGAGAATTTGTGGAAATGCATGTCATGCGATGGTCAGAGGATGGGTTTTAATTAAATTTAATGCACAGGAAGTTCGGATTCCGGCTGAAGTCACCAGGGTTTGAGTGTCGGTGTGGTTCAGTGTTTTGCAGTCAATCCCATCCTGTTTGCACACAATTCCTCTTCCCGACTCCGGCGATAATGTATCCATCCTGGGCGAGATGCAGAGAAAAGCGCACCTCAACCCCCGTCTTTGCGCAGAAAATCCGTCCCTCACAGTGAATGACGGGGAAGATAAAGGGGTGAAAGTGGGCGAGAGAGAGAGGCTTTTGGGTGACAACAAAGGGGACAGAGCAAAGAACAACAGAAACACAATCCAACAGCATAAACATGGGAGACTAAACTAGTCGCAAACCTCTGTGTTTCAGTCTTGAGATGACTGTAATCGGAGTTGGCAATAACTCCAGCAGGGGTGCTTTTGCGGAGGTGGGAATGGTGTTTTCGTGTGTGACATCGCACGACATATGTCTGTCTGTTGGGGTGGGAAATTGAAGGGCGGAGGAGTGAGTGTTTAAAAGATTATCTCAAGTTTGCAATTTTCTCGTGAAACCCACACACTTAATCGAGAATTAAGCATTTTGTATGGGAAAATGTCACTGATAGAGGGAGAAAAAATGTAGTTAATTAAACTATTAAGTGAAATTCAAGGTAGAATTTTCAGTGCAAAGATAACTTTATTCACTGAGAATTAATTGCGAGTTGCATCTTCTCTATGTAAAAACCTGGAGCTTTCGCTCTAATAAAATTAGCATATAATTTGCATAATTTCCAACAACTCAATTACAATCCTTTATAAACCTTTTTGGAGATTGTGAATCCGAGAATTTTCCAGAAGTGGCACACCTTTGAGTGCGCCGAGCATTAGATTAAGGCTGATAAAAGTGGAGGTGAAGGCAGTGTGTGTCTCTGGAGACAAGGACGTTACAAGACAAACACGAATGAATGAAATTCCCATCATCTCCAGGACGAAGAGTGGCAGAGCTGAATAGCAAATGAAGTCACGTCTCTGCAATAAGCTAACAATCGATGTTTCACCCCACACTGAACCGCCTTTTTCGCGAACTCTGGAAAAGCTCCATCATGGCATGAAGCATCTGGCCCATATATAATGACTTCCTCGTGTGATCATAAATATCTAAGCGATATGTTTTATTTTCCAATTTCTGTTTCGCCCATATATTTTTTAAAGTTTCTGCACACTGTCGCCAAAAGTTAAATTGCAAACACACACACACACACACGTTAGTTGGGAAAAGAATTTATTATGTGTGGTTTTCTCTCAACTCCCGAATTTTCGGGAGGAAAAGTTAAGGGAAAGTTTAAGTCTATGTGGTACGCAGAAATACCATCCACCTTAGCTATTTGTGTTTAGATAGAGCTATATTTTGTGAAGTTATCTCTTCTCCTGTTTCCATCCATAATACAAGTGTGTGTGTTTGTCTTTTCCTGGATTTCCTGCAGGAAAACATGTTTTTATACATCACAAATGATGCTATATTTGATAGCATTCCTCTCTGTTTGCGACATTTATTTCATAATTGGAATTTGATATGGTATCTTGTGAAGAAATCAAAAGCTTTCACTTCAATGCACTTTCAAACTTTCCATTCTTTTCGCCATTCTATGCAAATAAACGAGACGTTTAATTGCAATTATGCTGCATAATTTGTGGGAAGAACTCCATGTGTATTTTCAACAACCGCACATCAAATACTATTGAGTTGGTTGCCTCTGAGTGTTATTACCAATGCAAATATTGCCATATTCCACCACATATTGCACTGTGAATATGCATTAATCCGCAGGAGAATTAATATACTCCACAATCCATGAAGTTATTACGGACTTCATTGGGAAGCAAACCATAATGCGATGCTGGGAAGATGGAGGGATTAAATCCAAGACAAACCCGCCTCAATATATCTCAATTAGCCGCCGTTGGAAAGGGGATGAATGGCTTGTATTACATGGAAATAGTCGTTTGGCCATCGCACATTGTGTCTAAACGACAGACGAAAGAGTATGGGACTTCATCGCCAGGACACCATCTGGGGATGAGTTTGCTGGCAAAATTTGGATTTTGATATGAATTTTTTTTCCATCCCTACGTGATTAAAATTCCAGCAGAATCGTCTGTGAACTTGCACGTTCTGCAAAGGGTCAACAGAACTTGATTAATATGGCATAATATTTCACCGCTCCATGCGTTTCAGCATAATCCTGTTCCTGCGCAAATTAAGGGACATGAAATCACACAACATGTATAGGATTAAGTGACCGGAGACCTTTTGAATCCGCTTACATGCAATGCCACAAGGGGCGCTAATATGATTAAAAACCAGCGCGTATTGCAATGGATGAATCTTAGAAGATATCCCAGCTTGATAGAATTTCAAAGGAAGACTGTGTCGCACAGACTCACGATACGCCGTAATTTTATTGCGATGTTCGTTTACCGAGGAGATTATTCAAAAAGGAATAACTTTGAGGATCATAAAAGCACCCGCGGAAAAAGTCTGTGACAATGTTGAGAAGAAAATGACTGTGAAGTGTATCAAGATGAAAACACTTCTCTATTGATTCGCTGGATTGTTTACACGGGTGAGAGAGTGTAAAGCCAATCCGGCGGGAAAAATTGGAATTTTATCATGGCAAAAAGTTCATCCCTCGCGAGAAAATGCAACAGAGGAGCGATAAGGGGTGAAAGAAGAGAAATTACGCCAAAACTTCTTCTTCGTTCGGTAAACAAGTGTGAAAAACACGGTTAAGAGTTGTCTTAACACCCCCTCGAAATCATCCAATTATATACCTCCGGGACACAATGAAAAAGAAGAAAGGCACGTGAATCAATAAAGTAGAACTTCCGCCATGAAGACGACATTTGACTTTAATTAAATTCCATAGACAAACTGCTGTAAAAACTATTCTATCTCTTCTTGCACCAAAACTTCCATTAATTGCTTTGAGTGAACGTGTGTTTGTGGCTGAATTGAGGCAGTGGAAAATACTCTGGGATTCATCTGTCTCTTGCCTTGTGCCATTTGCTGGCGGTTCTATTTTGTGGAAAACACAAAAGGCAACAGAAAAAAAATCTATTCCCAGCGCGTGGTAAATTATCTGTGGCCACTCGAGACCAGTGAATTTGGCTGTGTTTGCGAAAGAGTGTGGAAAAAGGATACTTTTGTGATGATAAGCCTTCTGATTAATGTTCATTAGCAGTTTAACGCTATGAAACACACCTGAAATGCTATAAAGTTTCATATCTTCATCAAGAAACTGAGGGAAAAACTCCATCAGTTTAAAAGCTCAAAGTTGCCTGAACATTCTCATCCAGGATCTGGCTCATGTGAACTCATCCTTCCGGACAAAATAAATGAAGCATGAGATGATCAATTTCTCGAAATGATACCGCAAAAACTTTTAAGCGCACTTTTCATCAACTTTCTCCTTTCAATTTGTAAAATTAATTCTCTCGCTCCATCAGGAATTCTCCGAAGGTGTGTGAGACAGTCCTTTTGGAGTTTATCAATACCCGAGACATAATCGCGAAGGAAGGACGTGATGTTCTCTAGAATCCATCAAGGCCTCCCTTTCCCATCATCGCCCCACTAATGCTGATTCATTAGCTTCCTTTTGGAGAATGGGCGCTTTGGGAAATGGAGGAAAAATCTTATTCCCTCTGTTTCGCCTTCACCCCCATTTTATAATGGGTGCAGTAAAGAAGCCTTAAGTGTCGCCCTCGCGGCAATAAAAAAGCCCCCAAACTCGTGGGAGAGATATCAAGGGTGAACGACCGACTTTCACTATCTGATGCTGTGCTCTCTAATGGGCCCACTGTGTGGCATCAGGTGGAGGAAATGGTGCTCCTTTTCCTTCTTATCCTTCCACCCACTGCAATATTGGGGCAATTGTGTGCGCTTGGAGAGCACCAGAGGGCTGGAAATCGGGAAATCACATTAAAATCAATTACACGGGCAATCGACTGTCCATTTACCTTAGCTGTTATTTCTCCTTGTGGTGCCATGAAGACGTTTTCCCTCGATTCCTTGACTGTAACTTCCTCGCCAGGGTGTCTTTCTCAATTAACTGCCGAATTGAACAAATAGATATAAAGCTTAGCTGCTTTTAAAAAGTAATTGTCGCTCATCATCTGCTTGCAGATCACATTTGGCGCACCGAATTGGACTTTCTCGTGACGCATCGGGATCGATTAGTCATTCTGTCCTTTATGACATCACCGTATCAGAACAACACCCCGGATGGCGAGTCATTAATCACGGCGGAGTTTCAGGGCTCTGTTCTCGATGAGACACACTTGATTGAGAAATTTGGCACCATTGACGACGAGGATGACTTTATTGACAGCCACGGCGTGATGACGACGTCGGAAGTGCCAGAGGAACGACTTCCGGCCAGCTCCACGCACCAAACCACCGTGGAAGTGGGCCGCAGAGGTCGCAACAGAGGCGGCCACAGGTCCAGACTTGAGGCATATCGCAACAGAAAGCAGAAGGGCAGCAGGAAGGACAACATCGACGATGTTGACGTGAATCTGGAGCTAAAGCCCGAGAAGCCTGTGCCATTTGAGAGGCTGAACAACTACGATGGCGGCACGGTGTTCGAGGGCAAGGGCAGAAAGCCACAGCGCAAGGGTGGCAAAGACAGCAATATCCATATTGTGAAGCCCGAAAAGGTGCCCGAGGGCTACTTGCCATCCACGCCAATGACCACCAACTCCAAGATCATCGAAATTAAGGCCAATTCGAGGAATGCATCGAGGAGAGCGAAGCGCAGTGATGTGGTTATTCAGCCATCGCCACTGATTGGCGCCATTCCGATGAACATCACCCTTTTGGAGGGTGGAAATGGCTTCATCGTGGATTTCCTGCAGAAGCTGTTCGGCGTGTCCGCGGGCAAGGAGAGCTCCGATCCGCAAAAGTGGATCTCTCTGCCCAGCCTGGAGTTTCTCAATCTCGCCATTGCCATCATGATTTGGTCTGTACGCTATCCGGCCGTCTTCTGGGGCACCAGCAAGTCCTTCGCCATGATCTTCAGCATTCAGATGTTGGCGAACGGCGTGACAATCCTCCTGGACTTCATTGGATGCTCTGTGCTGTACAAGCTGGAGATGCTAGAGCCGCCGCCGCCCCTCAGATCGCCCGGATTGCTCCTCAACGCCACCGTGACCGTCTCGCTCTTCATCCTGTCCACCATCCTGATCATGTCCTCCTCGCTGGTCCTCTACCTCTACGGCCACGGGAAGTTGGCGACGAAGATGCGCGAGAGGAAGGTGATCTCGACCAAGAGCGGCGACACTTGGTCTTACTTCGCGCACTGTGCTTCGCTGTGCTACGTCTTGGCGCTGTCCGTGGCCAAGGCGCCAATCCTCCACGATCTCAGCACAACGTACAAGGGAAGCCTGGACAGGGCTGTATTTGTTTCCGGTGAGTCAGACTTCTTAGAGAACTTATATAACAGAACTTCTTCAGAGAAATGTTGGATACATTTTTCCATCAATGTTGAATTTTTGTGCTTTGCAGCTCTTGGATCGGTTGTGCATCTGTTCCTGTGGATCATGCTGTGGCTCACGCTGACGGCCAAGCGCCGCTGGGCCTTTAAGCTGCCGCCGCTGGAGCATGGCGCGGCCAAGGGCGCCGCTGAGCCGTTGCTGCTGGCCGCCCATCGCGGTGGCAGCGTGATGGCCGGCGCCCCGGGCCAGAGTCTGCTCGCCAACAGCGGCAGCGCCGCCGAGGAGACCATCTACTGGCCGAAGCTCACGCCCAGCTCGCCGAAGCTCAAAGTCACCTTCAATGAAGTTCCGAGTACGTCGCCCGCGCAAATTGTGGGTGCTGAACACGACGGCAAGCGGTAACGGAAATTCGAACGCACGTCACGTTGTAGCCACAGAGTCTTGTCTTCTCCGTCTCTTCAAATCCTTTGTTTCGTCACGCAATTTTATGCGCTTTCTGTGTTGGGAGCATTTGTCACTCCCAAGAGTTGTGCATCGATTTTATTTATCAAAAGAAACATCACATGATATTTTTCATCAGACGAAGAGATGCGTGCATGCCATTTCGCAGGAATTACTTTTGCCACTCTGTTATCACTTTGGTTCGTTTTGCCTCTTTTTGTCAGAATTATCATTTCATGCAGAAATATTTTTTTTTTGTAGTTGAGCACAGAAAATAGTCTATTTATATATATATTTTTGATTTACTTTCCGGGCAAAATCATGCCCCAAAAGTGAATTCTCTTTCACGTGTGTGTGTTTATTCTTTCACGCTTGTCAAGTGTTTACGCATTCAGTTTGATTCCATCTGAGAATCAAGAATGATTTAGAGAGAGTTTAGAGGAAGATTGGCGTGGATTTGAGACAGAATTGTGATTGTGTATTGTTTGGCATTGCAGCAATAAGGGCCGTGGAGCCGCGCTATGTGTCGCCCCTCTTGCGGGGGAGGCTGATGACGGAGATTACGCCACCTTAAGAGGGCCCACGGGGGACCTTCTGCACCTCAGCGACTTGTCCGCGCACTGCGACATGACGGATGACAACACATCGGAAGAGGGCAAGGTAAGGATGGACCAAATGAAGGACGAATAATATCAGAACACTGTCTGATCTGTGCTCTGATTGCAGTTGCTGGAGAGTGTCCGCGATGATAGCGTTACCTATGCTTCCACGAGAGATCTCGAGCCGCCAATTGAGCAGATGGTCAGTCCCTTGGCGCCAGTCACTGTCACGGTGCACACCAACGAAGCACACGTAAGTATGCGGACTCAAGGGGGAGATATCATGACCGGAAGCGGTGTACAGCTGAGCAGAAGTCTTAGGAAATTGAAGTTCTCAAGCTTCTCAAGAGTTTCAGGTTATCCGATCAGTTTAATGGGGAATTAAACTTCTAAAAACCTACATTTTTGCGAAACAAACATTTGTATGCTAAAAAAAGTCACTATTCGCCATCTTTAAAGTTAAAAATTACTGCAAACCAATCCTTAATCTCAGAAAATAGCATTTTGAGCTGGAAAAAGTCTTTGTAAAATTGTTTAGACACATTTTAGAGCTGAAATCAGTCATTTTTAGTTCATTAAACTGATTAATTTTCTGGTTTTGCCACAGAAAGCTGCTAAATTTGTAGGTTATGTTTGAAAAGGATGCCCAAAAAGCGATTTTCTGTTAGATTCCTTCACAATTACCAAACGGAATCTCAATGCAGTTCTTGCAATTGATGCAATTCCTCACGCAATGTCTCCTGTCTGTGCAGATAACATCGAGCTCAACGCCGCGATGCTTGCGACGAGCCGACTCTGGCGTGCCCAACGAGGCGCTGACTCCTCGCTCCGACACCACGTCCACTGAGGAGTCTGCGTCTCCGCCGGACAGAGCGCCCTCGGAGACCTCCAGCGGCGTGCACTCCGGCGAGGAGCGCGAGCTGGCGGAGGTGGTGATCAGGCCGCGTCCCGGCGGCGCTGCGGCCAAGGTGGCGGCCAAGCCCGTGCCGCCGGCCATCGAGGAGGAGCCCTTCGGCCGCTCCACGAACATGCGAATGTCCAGCTTCGCTGCGGACGGCCTGCGCGCCAGCAGCGCCACGCTGCCGCTCACCAGGGCGATCTCCGAGCCGCCGATGACTGAGTATCCGCACTGCAGCACCATGCCGCTGCCCATGGGCTGCCACCAGCAAATCCAGGGCCTGCGCCAGCACAGCATCACGCCCAACTCGCAGTCCAAGACGCAGCTGCTGCAGCACACGACGCTGCCCAACGGCATCCGCCAGTTCAGCACGCAGAACCAGTTCCTGCGGCGCCTGCCGCACGTGCGCACGGCCGAGTCGCCGTACGGCATCCTGGGCCTGGGCAGCGGCCATCACACCTTCTCGAAGCTCCTGCACGAGCCGCTGGCCGTGATGCCCATCCCCGAGGACAGGGACTCCGCCAACTACTCCATCATCTCCGAGCAGGACCTCTACATCACTCACTAGGCGCACGGACGACTCTTTGTACATAGCGCGCGCGCACTGCCCTCTATCGACATGATTAGTAGCAAAATACTCTAGACTTTAAGGCGAAAAGCACTTGTAGAAAGATTATTGAGAGAATTTGAGACAAAGACAATTCTTTGCGGAAACCACAGTGTTGTTCATAGACTGAAAAAGCGATTCCGCCAAGGAAGATGAAAGTTTTTCTTAACTAATATGCATCACAATTCCTTCTGCTTCTATTTATCAAAACATAATATCAATCGCCCCACCTTGAGAAAGAGAGAAAGAAAGATAAAAACGGATAAACTTTGTAATGCTTTGCAGCTCTGCTTTCTGAAAATGCCTGATGTATAAAAAAAAACAAAATGGAATTAATCGTAGAACTTCAGCACTTTATACAAAAATCTTGGAATAAATCGCAAAGCCAAAAAGAATATCTTGAGAAAACCATAAGAAATATAATATAATGCATATTAAAATATTCATATACACTGTCTAAAAGCATAAAAACCATTTACTTTTGATAGAAATATAGAGAATGCGAAATGATGTGTCATCACAAAACCCAACAAAAAGCTGAATTTAACCATCACGCCCAAGAGAACATATTTAATCGTAAACTGTCTTTATATCGTATATAAAATGAGAAACGCTGGACCCACTTTAGAGACATCACTCGAAGCATATCCCTGAGGAATCATATCTAAGCTTATACAGTATTTAGCAATTAAACGTGAGCTATTTAAGAGCCATTCGCAAGATGAGGATTTATGAGAGGAGAAAATGAGACAATTTTTATACCGCATTTTGAGCTGCAATTTCAATCAATACAAAATTGCACGAACTTTTTTAATGCCATTTTTCTAATTATAGTTGAAAAGCATTTTTCATACAAAATTCTTTTCTACCTTTTTCCACGGAAAATTTTAAATGCAAGTTGCTGCAGGTGAAATAATTCTAAGGACAAAGAAGCGCAACAAGTAAATAATTAAGAGAGAGAGAGAGTGAGAGAAAAAAATACCAAAAGACAATAGAAAAAGAAAATGCATTTTTTGCAAAATATACAGAGATTTTGCAATTTTTTTTCACATTATTAAGTGTCCTGTAAATAATAATTTGATAATTTAACTTACTTAGGATGTTCTTTGTAAAATGGTTTTCCTCAACGCAAATTGACAAGAAAGAAAAAGAAAAAAAGCCCTTCAGAGAAAAAAAAATCACTGCAAAGACTGATTAGAAAATATTGTTTTTCATCTCTATATTTGTTGTTTTTTTTCTGATTGTGAGTGTATTTTTTTCATGATCTTGCAAAAGAACAATAATTCAGTTGTAAAAATCTTTTGTAGTGGAAAAAAAAATTTTGAATAAAGAACTGCCAATGAAAGAAACTCAGAAGATCAGATTGAAAAAAAAGTGTTAATTTATAGGCATAAATATACGAGAAAAAAATATCTTATGTGGAACTCATAAAGAAATGTACAGAATATACCGTAAAATATTATTAGATATTTAATAACTATTATTGATGATATTGATACAATATTGAATTATACAAACAATAAAAATACCGAGAGTGAAAATTGAAGGGGAGCGAAAACCATGTAGTGAATATTAGCCGTATGTGTAAAACCTAAACCCTATTCTGTATTAACTAATTATCTAAATGTTTTGTATATTTAAATAAATTATTGTATATGAAGCGAATGTTGTTTCAATATCACAACTGGAATTATGAAGAACTTCGGCTTGCGTTCAATACTTTTCTCTGTTAAAATTCAATGAAATACATCAAAAGAGGAGACCAATTTGAGGAGTGAAGAGCGTGAAAAGGCAAAAAATGTGGCCCATGGGGGGATCGAACCCACGACCTTCGCGTTATTAGCACGACGCTCTAACCAACTGAGCTAATGGGCCGCACGATCGACAATTGCTGATAATTCGCCGGTGGCAAGTAGAGATGCTGACGAGCGCGCAATCTCGCATGGACGCATTGATAAGACGTGAGTTTTTTTTGTAATATTAATTTACTTGTTCTTAAAATAAATAAGTGTTGAAATAAAATTCATTACAAGCACTGATCTTTTGCCTCTGCGCACAAAAGAGATCAGCTGATAAAATTAGGTTTATAATATATATAAAGAATTTCTACATTTTCTTCATATCATCATTTAATTACATTATAAAAAGCTACACAAAACTCTTGTAGCTGAATCAAGGTGAAAACTGCTTAGCTATTTCCTTTATATGCGGTAAAAAAGAGTGGACACAAGAAGACTCTGGGCTTTAGTCACTCTTGCAATTTCAACTATATTCCTTCACGATAATGATTTCATCTATGGAAAAAATTACTTTAATCTTACTGTTTATTTATTGTTTTATCGTTTCCACTGTGTTTTTTTTCGTATTGTTTCCATTATAATTTGCTTGTATAAAAAGTCTTGCTCTATTATAAAAATGCAAAAAATTATTAGTTACAAAGTTAATTTACGGTTTCACTTCTTTCTTTTTCATATTTCAATAAAACATCCACAGATTTAAGCAGTTCGCTTCTGGATAAAAGGATTTTCTGTAATACTTTTGCGATAAACAATTACGTTCAAAATTTCAAATTAAACTGACTTGTTTTCTTTTTTTTCTACTCACTACATTCAAATTACATTCTTCACTTTTTGCTTATTTTATTAAACAAAAAAAAGAAAAGACTGAGGCTCAAATTTTCTTTTCAAACTCTTGAGCTGACTATTTTTCTCTTCATTTTAATTCACTACAGTATTTTTTTTCTGCTTGATATAGTTTTTTTTTTCATTCTCATTCATACTACTTAAATGTCATCTTTATGCATAGAATATTCATAAGCGCAAATGTTCTTTCACAATTTATCTTCTCTATTATTATTAAAAATTGTTAACACTTTCAAATAATATCGATTTGACATTTTTTTGATTTTTCATCTTTTCCCACAAAGAAAAAAAACACACACACAAGAATCATTCAATAAGTGACTAGGAAAGTACAAAGAAGACTTATATAATTCATGAAACTTGTCATAAAACTACTGATTGTTGTTACATTGGAACGAAAGAAAGTTGATGAAATGCAGGAAAAGGTGTTGCAAAATGTCAAAAAGGGGAATTGTAAAATCTTTTCACCACCCAATTGACAATTTGAGCATCAACGCGTCTCGATAACACTGTTCGTGTGGCGAATTGGGATCGAATACGACCAAAAATGCACTCCTGAAATTGTCCAACCAAAAATATCAACTGTAAAGATTCGCAGATAAAGTGTTGTCCATTTACCAATAATTCGATCGACAATGGAATTCACGTGGAAATAGTCTATATATATGTGAAAACAACCATAGAAAAATGGTTGGAAAAGAGACTGAAATTCACTTTACCTTAAATTAACTAATCGTGACGACTGTGAGTCGGAGTTTAGTCGAGCATTGTCAATTGGGTATCTTTTCAGGAAAATGTCAAATCCACATGTAACAACAATATTTCATCTACCACATCGATGCTTAAGAGGCGCGTTTATGTAAATTTCAAGAATATACAAATACAATCAACTATCAAATATCATCTTCAATTAGCATGATAATTTCATGTCAAATATTATATCTTGCATTCTTCACCTTAATTACTATTATTGTTTATGAATATTTTATGTGTGTTTATAGTTGGTTGTTTTTTTCCCAGGGAAAAGAATTGCTCACGGCGATTAAAATTGCTCAAAAGATCAACATCTTCACTAAAGAAGAAAAAAACAAGTGAAATACTGTCGCAATTGCAATTTTCGTATACAATTTAGCACTGTTTCTATCGTTTAATTGATTTCCTATTACTTTAAATTGAACTCTTGGATTGTCAACTCAAAAAGGATTATTTTGTATCTAAAATCCTAACTTGATTCAACACAGAAACGTGCATTTGTGTCCTTATTTTTCTCTTCAACACTTGTTCTTCAACATTTATGCAAAATATTTAATCAATAGTGGCTGCATAAAATTTCATTCAATCAACCGTGAGCAAAATGATTCAATAAATAATAGTGATTTTACTTGTAACACTGAGAAAATGCACAAAATATCGATAGTTTGGTTATTTAACTTGTCTTTCTTGCCCTCTTAATTCACTAATAAACCTCACATCTTGCATTTTGAGAACATTGCCTAAGCACTGTAAAATGTCTTAAGTAGTTTTCATTCCCCTTTCTTTCTTTCTTTCTTTCTTTCAACCGCGCAAACAGTCGAAAGCTCTTTAGTGATTCACCGCGGAATTGTGTGAATTCTCTTGAACTTCTGAACATGCAAGAATACCTGAATTACTGTATAAATCACTGGGATCTTCAATGATCTTGAGCGGCTCTTCGGCATCACTCTGGCCACCGCTCAGTCCCTTCATCAGCAGATTCGACTTGAGCTTCGTGCTGAGATTTGCCGGCTTCGCCGCAATGGCGGGCTTCGAGGGCGTCTGTGGCTTGGCCAACTCCAGATGCTTCAGCTGGTGATTAATCACGCACTCGTTATCATAGATGCCCTGCTGATTCGAGTACATCGCCGAATCGCCGAGCAGAGCGGCTGTATTTTGGTACGTCTCCTCCACGACCGGCGTCACACTCGCCGCCGAGCCGGGCGACGAGACGCCAGTTGAATTGGACGGACGCGTGGGTGAGTTGAGCTGTCGCTCTCCCAAGCCTGGGTAGCGCAAGCGAATGGAATCCACCACGTCGAGCAGATTCTTGGCGTCCATGGCAAGGACATGTGCCGCGGCGAGCATGCTCCTGAAAGCGGCGGCAAAGTTAGCAAGCAAAATCCGTGAAAAACATCTTGCAAACACTCACTTTCTGTACTCAACATCGAGCGTCGTGTCGCTGTATTGTTGCGCCAATCGCATCGCAGACACCAACTCGAACATATCCTTCGACAGGACTTTGTGAGCCATCTCGACTTCCCTGGAATCCAGTGAAAAACCACTCGTGAAATCACACTCAAACCGCCCCGCAATCCGTCAAACAACTCACTTGTGCGCTTGCGACGGAAACTGCGTCGACAGCTGATCGACAGATCCCAGAAGGACTCTGAGCTCGATGCCGATGTTCTTCACCAAATCGAGATACTCCGTCGGAACGGCGCGCTCAACGCCCTGACTCAGCGCCATGATGGCCTTCACGACGCCCGTCGTGGCCGTGTAAACGGCGTCATTGGTGCGATCCAGAGCGAGAGTCTTGCGACTCTCGGCGCCGCTCGAGGACTTGTCCAGCGAGGACGATGACGAGGACGCGGTGGCGCGAAGAGTGCCTGAATTTGAGCCCGGCGTGTGTGGCCGGGAGTCACTCAGACCGCCAGTGGCCTCGACAGGAAGACTCTGCGGACCGGAAGAGACGGAGGTTTGCGGAGAGAAGCGACTAGAACTGGGAAAACCGCAGCCATTTGTATCTCCATCAGCAGAGCCCGTCGTTATCAAACTCAGGCGCTTTTTCTGCACAAGAAGAAGGGAAAAAGTTCAAAGAGATTCAAAGAAATCCACCAAAACTCACCAGATTAGTTTCTTCCTGGTGAAGCCACTTTGAGTCCACTTCACTCTCCATTTGCTGTCGCCTGAGCTTCAATTCCAACTGCCCAGAAACATCCGGATGTTGAACCTGCATAGAAGACGCAGAACAAAACCATTAGCATCTCAACACAAGCAGAAAAAAACAACAACAAAATCACGCAATCAATCGAAACATACGAAATCTACCAAATCAACTAAAAACAAAGAAGAACATCCATGCGAAGAAAATCAAACGAGACAAAATGAAGGAAACCAAAAGAGAAGAAAGGAAAGCGTGGAGAAGAGCAACTGAACCTGCGAGTTGAATTGCTGCTGGTGCAGCAGTTGCTGCTGCTGAAGCGGACTTATCGGCGGGATTTGGTGGCTCCACACGCGCTGCTGCGGCATCTGATGGTGCTGCAGCCGCTGATGGTGGATGCCAGGATACGGCGGCGGCGCCGGTGACATTGTGGAGTTCGCCTTGTACTGCAGCTCCGGCGGAATCATTCCCTTGGCGATGCTCTTCTTCAGCGCAATGGCGGCGCAGCTCTTCACATTGGCGCCGCCAAAGTCATAAATCTCCTCCTGAAAGGGCTCAGGCTCCTTGGGACTCTTGTACGGCGTGCCAAAGCCGGGATTTCTCTCCAAACTCCCACCACGATTGCCACCCACAACCGGCGAATTCCTCTCCAAACTGCCGCCACGGAAATTCCTGGCCTTCATGTCGTACACTCCGCCCGATTGGTTCCTCTCCAGACTCCCGCCGGCGGCTCTCAGTGTGTCATTCTGACTCCTTTCGAGGCTGTTCGTGCGACTGCCGTAGCCCTGCGGCGGCAGAGCGCTGCGCTCCAGACTCCCTGATCGTCCGGGAGCGAAAGTGTCCTGACCAGGACGCGTCAGCGAGGTGGAGCGCGACGGCTTGACGATGTTGGGCGGAACGCGCTCAAGAGAACTCACGCGGCCGACAAAGGGCGCGCCGCGCTCGCCACTCTCGCAGCCGTCGGACGGGCCAAAGTGCACGGCATAGTGTCCCGGCGGCAGCTGGATCATCTGCGGACTCATGGGCGGATAGACGAAGGCTCCCGCCACCGCCGGGCTGCCGGACTGAGGGAAGCTCTGCACCAGAAACTGGTGCTCCGCATAGAAGTTCGCCGGCTGCACGTACGACGCCGTGTGCTGTGGCGTTCCGTGGTTGGGATAGTGCACCACAGCGGCCGGCTGCTGCTGACTGGAGATGTACTGAATGACCGGCTGCAGCGGCGGCTTGTCCGCCACCTGACTGTCGGGCGTCTTCTGCAGCGCCTTGTACATGGGATCAATGGAGTGCGTCTGCTGCGTGAGCGCATTGATGATCTCACAGGGAATGGGAAAGTCCGGTGGACGCGGAATGGCATTGTCACTGATGGCATCCTGTGGCAGATCATAGCGCTCCAGTGTGTTGCTGTTGGACGACGTGGCGGAACTGCAGAGACCCTCAAGCGCTGCCAAATCACCCTCAGCACCAATCTTCACACACTCACTCGCCGCCACACTCTCACCCACCATCGGATCCAACTTCAGCAAATCACCCACCGGCAACTTGATCGTCCTCAACGTCACATCATTCTCATGAGCATTGACCTCATCAACACGCCCCACATCAAAGTCTACAGCTAGAGTGTTAAATACCGAGGCTGGAGTGGTGTAAGCCGACGGATTCAGGCTGCGCGCCTCGTTCTCGCGCATCAAGTGCGCCAACACGGCCGGATTCTGCGCTATTATGTACGTCTGCGGTGCCAATTGCGGTGCCTCAGTTCCCAAGCTTCCGGCATCTGTGGAGAAACGGATATTCCCCATGGTGAGAAGATTGTCACTTCTGCCGTAAATCGGCGGATAAACTTACCCACGATTTGCGCTCGCGCCGGCTTTGGCGGCGGATTGTCATCTCCAGCGCCCCAAGACATCGCAGCCACTCTCCTGTTCTCCCGCCTCATCGTCTCACAGTCGCTCAAGCGCTCCTCCATCAGGATTTCACTGCAGACAAGAAGAAAATGGGTTTTTCAATACTGAATGGCGCGTATTTTGCTTCCTCCCTTACTAGAGAGTTTCTTTGATGGTCTTGAAGTCCGGCCTCTTGCTCGGCTCGTACGCCCAACACTGCGACATGAGCGAGTAGAGACGCGGCGGACAGTTGTTGGGCAACGGCAGTCGCTCTCTGTTCTCCAGCTTCCCAATTACATCGCTATTCTTGATGCCCTGGAATGGCTTCACGCCCAGCATCAGGATCTCCCACGTGCACACGCCGAACATCCACACATCGCTGGCCGTGGTGAAGCGACGGAAGTTGATGGACTCGGGCGCCATCCACTTGATCGGCAGCATTCCCTTGCTGGAGTGATAGTACGACTGATCCTCCACCCAGCGCGACAAACCGAAGTCGGCGAGCTGGAAAACAAGCGTATCAATTTGTTCACTCTCAGACTTTGGCTTGCAAACTTCTCTTTTCTTTCCCAAACCTTAATGCAAGTTGGTGAGCTGACGAGCACATTCCGTGCGGCAATATCGCGGTGCACAAACTTCTTGGACTCCAGATAACTCAGTGCTGTGGACAATTGATAGCAGTAGAGCAGAAGACTGCCCAGCTTCAGTCTGAAAGACGGACGAAAAAACAGGCAAAATGAGTGGCTTCACGGGAAAATCTTATCCGCATTCTGTCATTGAAATCATCAAGGATGACTCGGGGAGGAAATGGAGAAGAGGCGCGCCTGAGAACTACAAGAACTGCCGGAAGAGAAGACCAGGCGCCGTGCTGGAGACAGCCGGACGCGTGAGATTCATCAAAGTGCTTCACGGTCCGCTGGGCTTCACAGACAAACCATTGCCTTTGTCACTGGCGGAAGTGCAGAAGAAGACGGCAAAGAGGAGCACAGAATCTTCCCAATTCACTGCCCAAGAAAGCCCAGTTAAATTGGCAGAAGCGCAAAAGGCGCAGCGAAAGGATAAGAAAGATGTATCGACCAAATTGCAGCAGTCCAAGAAGAGAAGTGTTAAGAAATCATAAAAATTCATTACTTGTTTGAGTGCTTCTTCAGATACGCTCGCAACTCTCCGAGTCTCGCCAATTCCATCACAATCCAAATTGGCGGATTGCTGCATATGCCAATGAGTCGAATAATATGCGGATGCTCGAACTTTTGCATAATATCTGCAGAGAGAGAGAGAGAGAAAGACAGAGAATTTTAATTGCAACGGTCAAAATTTATACATCCAAAAAGCACGCTAATAAAATCTCACATGCTTCCTCGAGAAATTTCTCTGCAGTCTTAAAGTCAGCATCGGCTTTGCATGTCTTCACAGCAACATGAATAATTCCCACTTTATCACTCCCCTTATCCACATCGGCATTCACTTCGCTCTCTGACTCATCTTTGGTTGCCTTCGATTTACCCTTCAGCGTCGGTCGCGTGGGCTTAATTTTGCATGTTCCAATGTGAACATCACCGAATTGACCCACACCAATAATCTCATTCAGCACTATTTGACTCCTGTCCAACTCGTAATTGCGAGCTGTCGAGCGAAGAGAGAGAAAGACGAGTCAATTTGGGCAATGCCAGAAGCGATTGTGAGGATTTTATACTCACCAGCAGGAGTTGAGTAGTCGCCTTCCTCCTCGCCAATGCCAATCTCCGCGTAATCCTCACTCAGTGTTGGCAAATTTCCCTCAATCGCCGCACTTGCGGCAATTTTTGGCATCTCCTGAAACTCATACGGCACACTTTCCACCGTCGCTTGCGTTGTCACCGGCGATTGATGCTCCAGATCCAGCTTTTGATTCTTCTCCAGCGAATTTGTCGCACTACTCGACGGACTTCCCTTCGCTTGCACTGCAAAGTGACGAAATTAGAGCACTAAATTGATTAAACGCCATTAAAACTATGGAATGAAGAACACTTGACTTCTTCTCTTGCATCTTTCAACATGATTTCATTGATTTATGAACGCTAAACTCGCTTATTATAATTTTTTTTGCCGCTAATCCAGCAAATCACCGAATTCTGTTTGACTCACAATTCATACTTGAGAATACATATGCAATTTGTGCACACTATAAACAAACATTTGAAAAGTGAACAATTGGCACAATCAATAAAGCTAGAAATTGATTCAATTCAACTTGTGTCGCAAATCTACTTGTCCCTCATTTCCTTGCTTATTTATAATTAAATCCATTTAATATTTAAGAATGTTATGAGAATATGAACACATTTAGGAATCAGGATTACTATCGCAGCTATTATATTGTGGTCGGTGCGAAAGGACAAGTTCGGCGAAGTCGAAGACTAAGTAAGAGGAAGCGTTTCATGACTTTTCTATACATTGCGTCACGTTTCTTTCTTCCGTCCTCCATTTTTGACTGAATTTCTTGAAGCACTTTTCTTGCATCCAATCGTTTATTTATACCACATTGTCATTCACCGAAATCTCTAAATCATAGAACCGAGAATACGACGTTTAACATCAATTTTCAATTTTAATTTATTGAAATTGACTTACAAATTCACTAAAATCTAGAGAAAAACACGAAAAAAGGCAAGCTAAGAACAACCAATCCAAAAGGAGAAAGAAAAAAGGAATTTACAAAATAAGAAAGTAACTTAATGAAGCCTAAGAGCGATTACAGACTTGCTGATGATCCACGAGAGGATAATCGAGAGCGCGAGTGTGAACGACTGACAGCTGGTAGATGGCGGATCTCTTGCGAATGATTTTGTGAGCTCTGAAAGTCAATAAAATCTTCTACGAATTTTCCATTTTCGCAATTTTTTCAAAAAATTTCATGTTTTTTGATAAAATAAACAAATCAATTGACAGCTGAGAGTGGATCACGAAGCAAAAATTGTCGATGAAGAAGAATAGCTCCTGAGTGTGTTTAGCGCCAGTTCAGCCTCGAATTATTGTTGATCCATATTTGAGTGTGTAAAGATGGAGATCAACCACGACTTACCGCTGATTCGACCTTTACACACGCCAAGCTCATCCACGGAGGATTGATCCGAGTTCGCGCCGATTCGAGGATAAGCGGCAAGTCTGTAATCGCTCTAACCTAAGCAGAATGATCAGCCTGAAAGGACCTTTTGATGTCTCCAACGAAAGAAACACAACTCTAACGAAGAGAGTGCGGAAAAACGTCTCATTTGCAACTGAGTTGGCGCCGAGGAGAATCCCAACCACCCTGAAAGCACACGCAAAGCGTATGCTTGTCTTCTGCTGTTTCGCACAGAATAATTTTCTTAGCTGCAGGACGACTTTTCAGTTTTAGAGCAACTGTGGAATTTATCAGAACGATTTTTTTCACTTGTGATCCGCAAAATGAAAGTTTCCAAGCAATTGGAGAAGTTCAACAGTGAAAAATCCGAGTTTAATTTTCAAATATCCGCTCTAACGATTGACATCTTTTCTGGACCGTGGAAAAATCGTCTCTTAATTGGGATATTTTTTGCCTCTCCAGTTTTCGGTCTAATATTTATAATTACTCGCCTGTACAACACACTATCAATGGAATTGAATGTGAATTCAATTTTAACAATAATGTTTTTCATTGCTTATATTCAACTTGTTTGCAAAAATATGATTGGCTTCACTGAACGTCGACATTTTTTCAAATTAATGAACTGGATTGAGTCTATCTACAATGAAACAACAAATGACAGCGATTTTCAAGTGATCCTGGAAAAGCATTTGATTCGCTCTCTCGAGATTTGGGCACTTCTGACTAAGTGAGGAATTTTGCTAATTTTTTTCCTTGCACTGATAAAACTTTCTTCTTCTTCCACAGATGGGGAATACGATTTTTCTGCTCAACTGCATTTGCATGTTCAGCTACATTGCGGCCAACAAGTAAATTGGGTTTGATTATGCAGATCCTAAATTCAAATACAGTGCCTGACGAAGTGACTTACATTGTCCAGACAATATTTTTGCCATTCACTTCAGTGGCAATAATAACAATTGATTTGGGAATAGTCTTCATTGGGATTCAAATAATGGCCGCTCTAAACATTCTCAATGATTACATAAAATTGATTGACAAAAAAAGTAAGGAAATTCCAAATTACCTTACAAGTATTATCATTCGCCACAATGATCTTGTGAAGAATGTGAATTTATTCAACACAGCCATTCAAAAGACAGGATTTGTTCAAGTCACAAACAGTACTTTACTTCTCATACTCATGTTTGTGTTCTTGCGCAAGGAAAGTGGTGAAATTATAGCATATTTGATATGCTGCATTGGAATTTTTCAAATATTAATCCTTTGCCTCTTTGGTGAGTTTATCAAGATGAAAACTGAGCGACTTTCGGAAACACTTTACCTCACAAATTGGTATGAATTGACCGAGAAGGATAAGAAGATGTTTCTTCTCGTCCTCGCGATGGCGCAGAAAGATTTCGGACTGAAAGCAGCCGGAATGTACGACATTAACTTGAATGCCTTCCTTCAGATCATGAAATTGGCTTTATCTTACTACACAATGTTGTATTCTTTGAGCAAGTGAATTGCTGAATAAATCAGAATTCAAACTCATTCTTATGCAAATCACAATTCATGCTTTCGTGGGTAATATTTGTTTACAGTCGCATAATTAATCACAAGCAGTGTGATAACTAAATAAAAACAACTGCACAGTTAAGGAGATAGTAAAGGATCGTAAGATAAAACTACACTTTTCGTTACAAAAACACCAAAAACAAAAAAAATGTGTCATCTATTTCTAGAATATTCTTTTTATGTGTTGTAATTTAAACAAAAGGTAATTTTAGGATTGCGGCATGAAATATGTATGAAATAAAACTATGCTTAAATCAATAAATATTCTATGAAAACAATATAAACTTCTGTTTTTCCTTTTGTCTAAGTGGCATTATTGTATTTCTTCGAATAAGAACAGCTGACTGTAGAATTTTTAAATTATTATTGATATCAGGCGCTCTTAGACGCTTTTAGCCTCTAAAAAAATCACTGATGTTGAACTGAGATCTCTTAAAATTATCATAGGAGTAGCAAGAGTGTCAAGAAGATAGACTACAGATAAAGAGAAAATTGAATCTCACCTGATTGATCCCAGAGTGAAACATCGGAATTGGTGAACAACTTGCAATATCCATCAACGAGATCGGCAATGCTTTCAGCAGTCTTGATGCCATTGCACGTAATCGCCAGATCGTCAACATTCTCCGTCACTTTAATCTTTAGCTGTGTCTTGATATCAGCACAACTGCACGAGGCGTTTGTCGCTGAGCTCTTCTTCTCTGTATTCTTCTTGTTCGGCACCGGACTGTTTGTCACGCTGCCCGTGCCATTGTTGGTCATCTTCTGTGACGACACCGAGGCATCGGAATTACTTCCGCCACTCTGACTCGTGTTCATCTCCCGTCCAGACGTCGATCCGGACATGAGAATGCTGGTTGTGATCCTCTCAATGTCCTCAAAGTCCGCCACTTTGGTCAACTTTGCCTGCGAGTGAGCCAAATACGAGATTCCCACGTGTGGCCCAATGATCAGATCAATGGGAATGTTCCAGCCCGATCCCAGTGTCACAATGAATTGCTCCTGCTCGAAGTTGTACTGCGTGCGCAGCAAGTCGAAGAACTTCATCATGTACTCCATCTCTGTGTAATTGTGGACCTTCTTGTAGCCCGTCTGGATCAATTTCTTCAGGTTCTTCTGCTTGATTGTGTCTATCACAGATTTAGGTATGAAATTACCGAATCCCCGCTCCTTCTCAATGTAATCGACATGATGTTTCTTATCCGATACCTGAAGAAGAATACAAAATCACGTTAATATGGATTGACAGTCTATTGAAATTTCCTCCACCTCACCTGATTAGTGTCTTTGAAGTAATGCCTTAAGCCTAGACAGCACAGTTGCACCGCAACGTCCTGATCGATATTTGGAATATTTGACTGAATGTAGTCCTGCTTGACTTGATCGAAGTAGAAGTGACACGTGGTGCGATCCTGCTCGTACAGCTCCTTCAGATTCTTCGGCACATATCGCACGCGCAGCTCCGCCTTCCACACGCTGTTCGCGTGTCCGGTGATGTTGTTGGTCTTCTGCTGTCGCTTCGCCATCGTGCTGCGATCCACGCTGGGGCAGTCGGGATTGGCGCACGCCGGATTGGAGATGTGCGCCATCACCTCGGCCATCGACGTGTCCGGCGGCATCCAGAGCACCTCTTTGGTCAGCATGTGGCGCAAGCGGAGCGCATAGCACTGCGGCTGGGCCGTTTGGCTGGGCGTCATCGACCCCACAATTATGTTGATGATCGCCCGCACGTCGGCCGCCTCGTCGAAGCGCATCATGCGAAAGCCGTGATTCGGCAGGTGGACGTGCAGCGTCTGAACATCCGACTGCGATTGAGCTGCAAATGAAGAGACAGGCAAACCATGTAACACAGCCGAATTAATTGCATTCATGCCATGTGAAGGCATCAAAATTCATTCCACAGCAAAGTGCAGGGAAATAAACCCTAAATTGACGCTATTCTCCCTTGATTTATGCCAATTAATTGCCAAAATATCATATCAATTGTCTGAAATTAGAATATCAGTGGCAGAAGGTGAATTTTAGTCAAAAAGAATCGAGCTTTACTGAATAAGAAACCCAGAAAGAAAGTTGGAGAACATTTTTTTCCATAAGAATGTAAATAACAAGCAGAAAAACATCAAAATTCAATTATTTTACTCAAAATTTCCACATTAACAGAGTAAATTAACAGATTTTATGAAGGTTATTTCGTACTCCCAAATCTGTAACACATAAAAACTGTTGCTTTTCGCCATAATCTGGACTGTGAGACAATTTTTCATTCTTTGAGAAATCATTCTCTGATTAAAAAGTAAAAATCATTCACAAACAAACTATCTATAACTACAGATTATAGATTTATGGAGGAATTTAGTGGTAAAATTGTGTTTCCAAAGCGTTGCCATGCAAATCAAAGAAAAAAAAACAGCGCTATTTACCACTCCTCGCCGGGCTGAAGTGGGGCGACCGCGGCGCTCCAGAGTCTCCCATCTTGCGCAATTTTCCCGCGATTGCCGCACTGTTGCCACCGTGGAACTTCTTGAGGTCCGCCGCTCCGGCACTCGACGTCCTGTAGCACACGCTCGACTCGCTCTTGTTGCTGTACGAATGCCTGATGGGTGATTGAGGGCTGCGCCCCCGATTCGGGGGCTCCCCTAGCCCGCCATGCCAGCCGCCGTCATAGCTGCAAAAGAGACCAGAGAACCACTATTCAGAAATCACCCGTGAAATCCACAGTCATTAATTAACAACTCTGTTGGCAAATGTTGTGTGCTGCTTTGCCCACAAATCCGAATGGGAAGTCACGAGAAAATTGATTTTTCGCCCATATAAATTTTTGCAACACACCGAAAAAAGAAAATGCGAAGAATGAATAAGAACTGCGCGAGACACAAGACCCTCGGCGGTGTGTTATCTCACAAAGAATTTCATGATACAAGTGTTTCTTCTCTGCCCACACGAGATTACATGTGTCTACAGATACACTTCTTCCTTCAAGACACGAAGAGTGTGATGGTCATAAAAAACCAGCGTCTTAATAGCCGTCAATAATCATCCGAGAAATGGTTGTTTATGAAAATTTACGTCTCTGGAAAAAGATTTAAAATTATGATGGCGAATAAATTATCACGAATAGAATCAAAAAATGATGTGAATTATACGGCAATTGTCATATTAACCCATAAACCTATTAAATTGAAATATTATTGACTGGAAATCTTCATTAAATCGCACAAATATCTTGCAAAAAGCACTCAATTTCTTACAACTAAATAAAACACATAACGATTTTGATATTTTAACTTTACGATTTTAGCCAATTTTACTATTTCAACAGGTTTTACCTCAAACAAACCTACTATAGTCGAATTTGTGAACCTCTAATAAAGAGTTTTCCTGAATTTCAATTTATTAAAAGTACAACAATTAAACTTCAGTTCGTATTAGGTAACAAGAATATCTTAAAAGTCGCACAAAAGCATCTAAACAAAGTAATTTGACTACTGAACTAAGGTCGAGACTGAAATAACCCCAAACACTCCGTCGTGTCCATAAAAAAAGTTTAACAGCTGTACAAATTTGTACTGATCTTCCGGCAGAAGCAGTGTGGCGAGAAAATAGTGATAAATTGCGAGCTTGAATGGGTTAAAATGTAAGAGAGAGAATGAGAAGAGAGACCTTCTGCGATAAACCCATGTGTTGACCACGACATCCGAGGCACTTCCTACGCTATGTCGCTTAAGACGACGAAATGATGATCGCAATTTCACTCCTTTTTGTTGCGGATTTCGCTTCTTCGCTGCCTCTGCGCTGCCCTCCTTCTGCACAGGCTTCTGCCGTCGCAACACGGCGGAATCCATCTCGAGGGCGAACTTCTTCTTGGCATCCACCAAATCTCCTTCGCTCCACCACTTCGACTGAGCTAGTCTAATTGCATCAGTGCGACTCATTGGGTCAATTGACGCTGACAATGATGGGACTGACAATTTATTAAGCTCCTCCAAATGGTCCAAATCACTGAGACTCTTTGTGCGAGATATTTGTGACAAATCACATCTCTCATGAATGTGAATGTCACACAGTTTGCGCCTCAATGTCAACAATTTTAATTTATCACCTCTTTGTTTTGGCCACTTTTCCTCTCGCCTTCTGGAGAATAGAAGTGCACTTTTGTGCATTTGCTGAACAACATCATCATCAGTGCTCAACGTCATGTCGCTTTTCTCACTCTTGTCTTGTGAGTGTTTCACTTTTTTCAGTGACAAATTCAGGCTGCGCCTCTGCAGGAGAAATCTCTTGAATTTCGACGTCTTACACTTGGCATCTTCGGCCTCCATGGAAGTGTGCTTCACTGGTAATCGATACGCAGCAGCACAATCATTCGTGGAATTGCACGCATGACGAGTTGATGGACACTTTGGGTGTGATGATGATTCTCCACCACTTATCATGCTCGGCTTTTCCTCTGAACTCTCGCATCGTCTATTTCCAGATGGGAAACCCGATGGGCCATCAGTTAAAAATACTCTGTCTCTCCCCTGAAACTCGTACTTCATGAGAACTGGATAGAATTTCGAATTGTCCACGATTATTATGGACTGAGGATCACTTGAGTCTTTCGTCCTGCACACTTGATTGGTCTTCATCAGCAGTGGCGCCAATTGGTGATTGTCAATGAGAAAGAGTGGCTGATAAGGGCTCCTGAAGGCGCTTGTGTCGTCAGAAAAGCATATATCTCTGTCCTCTACACATTTGGACGTCTTGCAGCTCTTCGCGTGCTTTTGCAGCTTGTCTCGCGCCTCAGTCCTCTTGTAGATCTCATCCTCCAGCTTCTTAATGAGCGCAATGTCCATGGTGACTTCCTTTTGCACCGCAGAAGCGCTGTCCGCCTCTTTCGTGACCGCATCCTGACTCGACGCCCCGAAAGGGCGCCTAAGGAAGTTCCCAATGGCGCTGGGCAGACTGAAGGGACGCTGCAGAATTCTCGGACATCGACGCCTGTAGCGAATTCTGTTCTTATTCAAATCAATCACATTGCGACACTCCTGCGATGATGACGCTTCCTCCATCAATGGCACACACATGACATCACTTTTTTCGCTCTCTGATCTTTTTTCAGCCACCTTGCAAGCACTGCTCGAGTGTTTGTGGGTGAGATTTGCTTTGTCTCGCGGCAAATTCATCTTCTTTTTCTCACTCTGAATATTTTAACGCGCAGCGCGGAAAAGTATCCAAATTGCCAACACTTTCCACACACTTATAATCACTGAGGATTGTGATTTTTCCCAGAGATTCTGCACTTTTTTTTTCTGTTTGCGAATTTAATTAATCAAAAGCTCATTATGCACTCGTTATAAAATTCCAACACACAAATCTCCTCCCGGCCAAACTGTTCATTTCTCTCAGCCACTGCATTTCTCTCTCTCTCTCTTGACTCCAGTCAATTTCACCACAATATGGAAATTATATAGAATGCACTGTATATCAAAAATTAGATCACAAGCACTCATTATTTCCAGAAATGTTAATTCATAAGATCACTGACACAGTTTGCCACACGTGAAATCTACGTGAAAATCACAGTGAAGTACATATTTTTGCGAAATATGACTTCACGGAAAGAGGGAAAAAATATTTGATATACATAGAATCCATTATGCTGAAATTGTTGGCCTGCCAAATGCCAAAACCGTGCACTATTATCTCCACTCTTTCTAATGGCAAACAATCACCGCACCTTCACGATTTTCTCGCCCAATTGAACACGACACAACACCACAGATGAGAGAGTGAGTGAGAACATTGATGACCGTGCGGCCGAATTGAACCCATTTTATGACTAATCGATCCCACTAGAGACACAGTCCCGGAGGAAGGTAGTTGACGGAACAGCGGCCAATTGTGAACTGGCGGGCCCCGAGGCAGATACAGTTCAGCAATTGCATCAGTGGCACATAATAGAGCGCTTACCATGCTTCGTGGATCGTGGAAAAAAGCAACACGGTGGGGACTTGTGCTCATAACTCACAAACATATACCCACAAGACATCCCAGACGAAGAACTTGCAGACACAATCAAGAAGTGCGTCTTCCCCCAGCATTGCTCCCAATTTTACTCCACATTGCGCTGAATTAGGGAGAATTAAGAGCCCCACTTGCAATGGCAGTAGGGAAATTTTCCATCGCCCAAGAAGAGATTGAGTGTGTGGAGTCATTGCATGAAAAGTTATGCTTGCAGAGCTTACAGCACTGAAGATTCTCATGTGTGAAAAGAACAGTCATATGAGATTCCACTAGAAGCTCATAGGACATTCTGATGTGATCCTCAAATGACAATCATGTTAGTTTGTCAATTCCACATTGCTTAATAACCATAAAATATACAATGAGTGCAATTCAGCATCTTTTAGACACTTTGAGGAACTTCTGACAGACCGTCCAACGGAATTCCATAGGAACTCTATCAGACATTCACAAGAAATGAGATTTTTACTCCTTTAACTAGTCTTATGACTGAAGTGAAGTGAATTACAATAGCTGCAATGTTTTGCACAACAAACGGTGAACATTCACTGTGTGCCTTCTTGTATTTTCCTCCACCATCCGCAAGACTGGTCATCCCACACAGACAACTTCTTTTACACTCGCGTCTCACTCACTCGTCACAGATCTCAATATATTGATATTAATTGCGAAAATATCTCTCAATTTTCCTACAGAGATGCCGTTTTTTTCCCCGATTGACTCTCACAATGACCAGAAAGAAAGAAATTCACCGCTGTCTTTGGGCAATTAGTGATCACGGCTCTTAATGTGTTTCAAAAAATTGTGTAATGTCATATATTTTCCAGTGCGCGACTGAGATAGAGGCGGAAATCGTGGTGTTTTTGGTGCTCCTACTTAAAAAGCCACACAATCTTTCCTCCCTTTTCCACACCTTTCGCTGCCTCTCTTTCCCCCCTATACATATGTGCGCGACTCTGTCGCTGAGCACGTGGGTGATGCTGATTTCATGCACACAAAATGATCTCAATGGCGTTCATCAGCATCCCGCTATAAATTTCTCATGTTGGATTCGAAGCACGTTGAGTAATTAAATTTACATATTTCTTGTGTGAAATTGCACTATGAGCGATGACCAGATGTACCTTAACTTGGCATTAATCGCGATCACTTCTCTTCCTTCACGATCTCTCCCCAATGTGATTTTCTTCCCTATTCGCTGTTGCACACTTATCGCGCCCGAGAATCTCTTCAGGCTCCTATTTTGCTATTTTGCACACGAAGAACAAATCCAGAGCCATAAATTATGAATAGCAAGAGCAAAAATGCAGACTAATATCACTTTATATGCTAAAAATCAACCGCACAAATGTTACTTCCACACGCTTCACAAGTGCAAATATTTGAGGTGATTTGTTTCTCTTTTCAAGATCACGATTAGATATATATTTTATTGTTCAATTGACGCACGATTAGCAAGTGTATGCCATTCGCCGATTGAGTCTTCGCCACATTCAATCGAACTTCAAAATCACTGGATGGACCCATAAATTCATCTATTTGTACAATTTATTATTCAAATATCCAACACATAATAGCGCCCGAATTGAAACATACAGAGTCGTATCTGTTCTCTATCAATGTTTCATTTGTGAATGCGATCATGCGGAATGAAACTGAATTTAGAAAAAAAATATGTCTGGTTATTGAAAGGCGGTAGAATGTAATGAAAGCAATAGGATGATAAATGATCACCTGGTGAGTTCATAATTCAATAAATACCACTCAACTTCGATACAGTATGAATTTAATCAAACACGTTCTCTTGTCGAGACTTTTTTATTATTATTATTTCGCTGTTAGAACACGATCAATGAATTGCATATACAATTTTTGGATACACTTCAATGCAAACTGTTCTTCTGACTTAATTTTACAGTGATTTTGATCGAATTTTCAAGCAAAAGACAGTTAAATTAATGCATATTTTTTTGCTCCTGACTGTAAAAACACGCATTGCTATTTAACAATCAATCGAAAAGGAGTGGTTTTTCAAAACAGATTTTAATGAAAAAAAAACGTTCTGTCAACAAATTTTTTAACCCTAAAAACAACAGTAAAATCCACCTCTGAAGAGGAACACAAATCAAATCACGTGTGATGGAGAATTGATTAAGTTTCTAAATTGAACAATAAACTATAGTGAAATTGCCGTCAATAAGAGCGATATAATAAAATTGCCTTGAGAGATCCATTTAGCATCTCTAAAAGCTCACACAACAATGCCAATAAAAAGAGTATATTTCTTCACTATCATTTTGCTTAAACATCAAGAAATTCAAGTGACTTCTTTTTGCTTTCCAGTGCAATAAAGAGCTTCTAATGTCGCGTGAAAAATCATTGGCGATGTAAATTGTCGGAAATTATGTGCTCACAAATGCTTCCTCTGCAGAATTTTCACAAGTATACTTGAAATTACAGAGACCTCACGGGTAAATAGAGGAAGTAAAAGTTTCCAGACAACTTTTATGACACTCACCCGCGTAAATTACACGCTGCCAGACGGAGTTCGTTCAATTAATTCATGATTAATCACAATTATATTTCACTATTCAAAATGGAAGTGAAGCAAAGAGATTTCGAGGCGATGCATTAGGAAGCATTAATTGCAGCATTTCCCATGAAAAATTGCAGTTGTTGAATTAATGCTCAAGAGGCGCACTCTCACGGCGTGGGTGGACAATATATTTTATTCTCCTGCTTCGCATGTTAAATGATAAAAAGAAGATTAAATTTTCTTTCGTTTTTCTTTTGTACTTCAACACATCCTGTGTCGCCTCCACATAATTAAGCACTCAAACTCAATTCATAACTACACATAAATAACATATGAATTTTAACACCTTTTTCTCTTCTCACATTAGAAAAAAAACAACCAAAGAAACTTGATGATGAGCAATAAAAACAAATCATTTTAACTCTTCTTTCACCTTCACACAATTTACAAGTTTAATTTCTCAACCGACATCAATAGAGAGAATGTGGGTTTGTTGGTGAAGAAAAGCACGTGCCCCACTCTCCCCTAATGCATCTTCTTCAGTTACTTTTGCTGCTCATCGAGTCAGAATGCAACGCACTGTTGTAGAGCAAAATTGAGGAGAGAAAAAAAAGGTGTAGACTTGAGGCACTTTTAATTAGTTAATTACAATGTCCATCCTTATCTGATACCCTCTCACTTCATGGACAGTGAAAATCTCCAGAACATTGCAGAGTAAGTGCAATGGATATGCATTAAGCCATCTGGCTTTGCAGCCCCTTTTCTGCACCTTTTGCACCCAATTAATGGCAATTGCAGCAGAAAATTGCATAAATTAGTTCACAGAATTAATTTTTTTTCTCTCACTCTCCTCTTACAGAAAGCATTGTTTCTTTTATCCGCTGTTCACTGTGAACAGTTGGTGTTGACGGTTGGCTTTCGTATGGCCTCTCAATTTTGTGATATCGGAGCGTCTTTGGAAGGAAAGGCAAGCAAGCAAGAAAGGAAGAGGAGATGAAACACTCAGTGGCACCATGATTTGTTTATAAACACTTCTTCATCCCAGATCCCTTTCTTGTACGCCCCAATATTGAAGTTAGTCAGCCAAAATATTGTTTGTGTGTGTTTAGAGACATCTTCCAAAAATACTCTCAACTCGCGAGATCTTGACATATTTATGGATAAACGCTCTTGCGGCTGCGATAGGAATACACACATCTTTCCGATACAAATCGTTTAAATATTTGCCATAGAATCAATTTTCATGTCATAATCGCGATGCTACCGCTTTGGATCTTTGCGTTGCATTCTTAGCAGATGTATAAGACAGATGAAGGCACAAGGTAAATATATTGCCTTGTGATAAGATTCTAAACACATGCTTAAGCACACATGAATTTCTTTTACACGCAATGAAGACTGTGATAAATTCTTCTTCTTGTCGAGACATCCTTTCATGTTCAACACGATAATTATCTTCAATAAATGTCTCAAAGGCAATGACAATGAATGCTGTTCATTGTTTTCTATTCATTTAATGAATTCAGACACTACAAATATGACTTTTTATCGCTCTTCTTCATTTCTTTCTCCACCACAAAATACACCCTTTTGTACAGTTTTATAATTAATCAAATGAGAATAAAAGGAAAAATTGCACCATGAGAAATGTTCACATTGACTTTGAGAGACATTCAGAAACAGAGTGACAAGAAATAAATTGTATCAAGATGTTTTCACTTCAATTTACCAATTGACAACCAAGAATACGACCGAATATCAACTGACAATTTACCAGGACTTCCAATTTATTTGATTATTTGGTAATTCAATTGATTTTCCCCATCTCTTGCAGCAACATTTTCCTAGCAAGGCGAAGGGATTCATTTCCATTCAGAGCTAAACAGAAGAAGTCACACCCAAATTCACAAGTGTTACACTCCTGCAGAAATTCCATCCACCATCGAAGCCCTCGCATTAATGCATCCCGTGTTTGCAAACCAAAGAATTATCCTTTAATTCAATAGGGTGACCAAACCCTATGTTCTCTGGGAAAATTGCATGATAGCCACACAGTGTTGTGAGGGTGAAAATACATCCCTTCGTGTGTCCGATCGATTGTAATTTTATACCCAAAAAACATCAAGAACATTCGATACGTCCATTGGTTCTTCTCCCCTCGAGATTGAAGGGAGGAAAAAAGGAGAACAATAGGACGAAAATAGCTCAAGAATATTGCTTATAGAACAACACTTACGTTTCCAGATATTGAAAATATTGATATGGTTTCCGATACATAAATCCTTCGGCCTTTTCCACCATCATGTTATAATTTATTAAGATGAAATGATGATAGTTTTTTTCTTCGTCTTTCCTTCACTCACAATTTTTATGCATTCCTGAAAAGTTCAGTGCTTTTCCGTACACAGATTTCAATCATTGGCAATTTTGCTATCAAAAGAAAAAAAAAAACTCTTCATGCAAACACATTCACACAAACTCAGTCGGTGAAAAGCATTCAATTGCGCTGATGGTGAATTTCATCAGAAGTAAAATAGGGAAATGATATCACAATGCAATGTAGAAAAAGTCTCTTATCAAAGCATCGCATCTGAGTGTGAATTTCATATAAAATTCATTTGATGGGAGTAAAAAAGAATTGTATAAACACGCATAAAGAAGTCACATAATAAAACACACTTCTTCAGCAGACGCAGTGACGACGAGAAAGATATACTTCGCTCTTTCTCAAACATTTCACCATTTTTGTCACCATTGCGGTAAACCCATGAAAAGCTAAGTGAAATGAATTTGGTCGCTTTTCATTTCCATCGCACTCATTTTTTTCTCATCACATCAAATTCATATTTATAGCATTTGTAAGGAGGAAAAAAAGTGCTTTTTCGACAAGCCAAAACAGAGACTAATTTATTAAAATGTTGTGTTTGTGTGTGTGTGAATGAAGTTGAACATGTTTCAAGAAGTGAATGAATGTAACTTTAGCAGAAGCTCAGCATTTGCTGAATGGAAGAAACGAGAGATGCAAAGGCACTTCGAAGAGTGCTTATTCAAAATCTCCTTTGCATTAATCTATAAGAAAGTGAGAACCATTAATTGAGCCAATATTAAAGCTCTTTAAGCAAAAAATCTAATGTATTAAAGGCACTCAAATATAATCTTGATGAGCTTCTGAATACAATATTTCATCTTGGAATTTAAAAAGACACTTTGAAAGCACAATTTCAAACGGAATATCAATCAAGATTCGTGTCTTTCTGTGCATTTTCAGTAAATCTATGGCTTATATTTTGTCCCTCAAATGCTTGTGTGTCGCAAGACAGTGTCTGAACACATCTAGAGATGAGAAACATCCACACAAGATGTCATAAATTTCCAATAATGAATATTGTAAACATTGCGCTTTGAATAATTTATCGTTTTATCACACACACTCTCGATGCCATTCCATTGCATAGATTTTTTTCCACCATCTTTTCACCAAGTCATCGCTTGTAGAAGAAGAAAAAAAAAAGAAAGAAGGAGAGAGGAAGTCAGAATCTACTTGATTTCCTGTGTCACAAAGTCTATAAAGTCCTTCTTTTTTGAGAAATGTAAATACCAACCATTTTATCTCTCTCTCTCTCTCTTTCTTGTGTTTTTAATCTGACCACAGTTAACCACATTTCACAGTGCTTTCTTCTTTTATCAAGTATTTTAATATTCATTTCGCAATTATCGCTTTATGACACAAAATTGGTAATGAATGTGTTTGTGAATGAAGGTAATGGTTGCATCTCTTGCACTCAACAATCACTCATAATTCCACATTGTGTTTGATTAAATGCCAATGAACTCCGCCCGCAAAATAACTGGATGAATATTTCTCATTCTTATCTTATTATAGACAAAATGAATTGCACGGAAAAATTTTCACATGCCAAGCACAAAAATTCATTGAACTCCTCCCAATTCAAAAGCCACATTCTCGCATACATTACAAGTTCATATTACGCGTCTGTAACATTATTTTTGCATGTGCAGAGTGTGATGATATTCATCCCAGATGGGTGTTTTCATACTTCAGCACCGCACATTTTCCAACTCATGGAGACAAGTTTGTCCCTGATTATGTGGAAGAATCTCTTCGTTGCACTACATTTTCCTTTTTTTCCTGCTCCGGCAGTTTATAAATAAAATAGACGAGAAGAGAGAGAGAGAGAGAGAGAGAGAAGCATTACGGACCAACACAACACATCATATGATATGAACGTGCAGCAAAATTTAACCGAGCGAAAGAGTCACAAAGAGCCTCATAGTGAATTAATATCTGGAGTTTCTTCACAAATTTTCTTCTTTTTTTACACTCAGTTGAGCATCAATTTGTGAATTACTTCCAAATACAATCAATTTCATTTGAGGAATTCCTCTTTTTTAATATCACACACACACACACGCACGCTTTTATGATGAGAATCGTGTGCAGAGAAAGGTTTTCCAAAGCTCGTAAATTTCATCACCTTCACACCCACCCACAAATTTTCACATCTCTCCCAAAACATTGTTATTAAGCTACTACTTTTTCCCTTCTTTCTCTCTTTCTCATCTTCCCATTTTGGAGCATATTTTTGGAAGCCAGTCCCACATAAATATCACCCCACAGAAGGAATTTCAACATGGAGAAAGAATGCATGTTTCTCTCTCTCACACTGCGTTTAGATGAAATAATTGAAATGTATTGTGAGACATTTGTGAAAAAAAGTCCCCTTCTCACTGGGCTTTATCTTATTATGAGTGATATGTCGTTTCACTGGTAAGTTATCGTCCATATATACTGAATGAAAACTTTAGTTTTATTTCATATAGATTCTATTATCAAACAAGAGCAGAAATTCTGTGGAAAAAAACAACAATTTGCTTGCCTATCTGAGTTAAAAACGCCAATTTCATTTCTGAGACATGAAATTGCACTGAGAAAACAATAAATATCTTTTTAGAGGGTATTGAAATTTAAGTTTTCGATCCTTTCTTGTGAAATAAGTCTGATTTTGCATGAAATTCATACCTTTCTCGACATAATTTCAAGTCTTTTACTAGTTTCAAGACTGAAATTGACTTGAATAGATACTGAAATTTGAAGTTCGCCTAAGAATTGAAATTAAATTGTCAGAAAATGAAAAGTCTTCATCGTTTTCTAGCTCTAAAAAAGTTAATTTTAAGAATGAAAATGTCTTGAATTTAGTCTTCTCCGTTTAAAATCGAAACGAAAATCTTCATTAATTCGACTCAGTGTCTTTCATAAATAATTCATGCGTCTTTCTTGAGATTCTTCATGAAAACAATATCCGGAAACTGCATTAAAACATTATATGAAATGGCAATTCCAATCTTTTTGTGTGGGAATGAATTTTATATTGTTGTAAAGTGATGTGTAAAAGTTGAGAAAACACGTTTAATTAATTTGTAAAGAAAGACATTTTCTCTGGACCTAATCATTTCACACCATTCTTCATCACATTTCTTCAACGTGTTTTTTTGATGATGATGACGCACTCATAAACAGAAAATCCAATGGACTGAATGTGAAATACAAAAAGCCACACTATTTGAATGAATTCCTTCCCTTTGATTGATTCCTTTTGCCATCAAACAGAAAACTTAACTGTCCAAATCACTAATTACAATTCCATTTCAAGTGATGAAGAAACACAATAGCTAGACAACAATGCATAATATTCAATAATCCACTATCAAAAAGCAATTGTCATGGAGAGATTGTGAAGAATTGTAATTGATGTTATGTTGGCATGACTTCTCTTTCAGCTTCCTCAACTTATGTGGGCTCATTGCTCCTTTTCATTCAACTTCTCCCCTCGTCGCATATGAACAACAATATTGCGCTATTATGCATGAATATTGTCGGAGAGAAATTTTAATTAAGCCCCATTTTTTTTGCCTTTCGCACTGACCAAGAGTCAAACATAGAGTTGTCAAGAGTTGGCAGTGAATGTGTGACACTCAGGCTACTTAGGAGTGGGAAATTATGACCAAGGATCACACTCTCAGACATGCAATTGAATACACAATGAAGACAAACATACAATTATGTGAAGCACGGAAGTCACATACATTAGCATACAAGGAGTGGAATTAATGTGAATTTTGCATGAAAAATTATACTTTTGATAGCAAATTGCCAAATCACTTTGCATCTCTTCATTTTCTCAAAACAAGACAAAAAATACTTCTTCAATTTTACAAATTCATAAACAACACATTATAAATTCACCACAATTTCATCTTCAATAAAAAATTTTCACTTGAAATACCACGAAATAGACCGTGAATTCATTTTTTTTGGTTTATTTTGTCAAAAAGCAACTTTCCAAAGTGATGCAGTGCACATTATAGGAAATAAAAACGCCCGCAAGAATCCAAGAAGAGCTCATAATAATCAATCACACATTTTCCCGAAATAGATTCCAGAAAAGAGAGGAGAAAAAAAATCGGGGATTCATCAAAGAGATTTCCACTCTGTCTCACGTATTAAAAACACTGAGTATTAGTCATCAAATTAACTATGTGAGCACCAACAGATAATTTATAATAAGCCGGTTGGGGACTGTTTGTCTTATGCGCATTATATGCATCTACACTATGTCTTATGTATACAATTTCCACTGACTGACAAACACACGATGCATTTTCAGCAAATGCTCAAACGCGACTGTTCTGCTCGACAATTGAAGCCTCACGCGGCACTCGGAGAACTCTCTTGGCTCTGCTGTCGTCCTCTCATTCACTCTTTCTCGTTATCTGCGCTCCAGAGAGCGCCGTACATGCCATGCTATGTGTACTCATATACACATTGAGGCATTATGTGAAAGGCACTCGACTCTATGCGGGGATCTTGCTCTCTCGCACACAAGCGCGCACATGCAATTTATAAATTGACAACACACAGCCACACACGTTCACGTGAAAAAGCATTTCCCGGCATGTTTGGTGGGGTCCTTGCCTATTACTCTTCCTACCACATAAACTCCGCTTTTGCACCCACGACTAAATGCATCAAATGATTTTCATCACCACTGTCATTGCGTGGTAAAAATTTAATGAAAATTGCTGCTCTTAAGCAAATCTACGCAATTACTTTCGATTTCAGAGATTCTCTTCAATTTTTCATCTACAATAAGTGTTAAGAAATGCAATTCTTTCAAGGAAAAAAACAAGGAAAAATTGCATTTTTTTAACAAATTTCCATTCATCATCGCTAGACAGACAAATTAAGAAAGTTTTATTTATTCCTACACACGGAAAATATTTATTTCACCTGTTTTCCTATCTTAAAGAGTTCAAAATTGCCTGAGATAATTAATATGTTACTTTCAGTAGCGAAATTTTTACATTTTCCCTTAAAAGAGTTCAACGATTCGGAAGCTATGGTCAAAAATTAATTTATCTGATACTGAAATACATGTTTATATACATTAACAATTTAATAACAAGTCTTAGAGATGGAAATCTGTTTAAATGTTTCAACACTTGCAGTGTATAATCAATGTAAAAACAATGTGTATATTTTCAATGTTATCTCATCAATAAAATAAAAACCAAATGGTTATTGACTCTGAAAAACAATGGGAAGGTACATGAAAACCACGAAACATTTTACTCATTGTTGATATTTGATAAATACACACACAGCACAGCTTCTTGCAACCCATGAAATGTCACAATAAAAATTCTTTAACTCCGTCCAATGGGCTTGTTTGCGAGCCACCCATAAAATCCTATTGAAAAGACTTTGGCTGTATATTGGAAGCATGTCATCCGATGCTCGGTTTTATTATCAAGCTCAATTCACAGACTCGCTTTTCACTTTGGTAGAAAATGCCATAAGTTTTCCTGGCCTTTGAAGGGGACAATAGAGAGACATTTTTCCACTCTGGACTGATATAGAACACCTTTTTGCCAGTGGAATGAGCAAAAATATTTCCAACATTGCAATTTTCGCACAGTGAAGAACTTTCAGCTCTAATACCGCCTAATGATAAAATACTGCCGCCACTGTGCAGAATTTTCTTTACACTCCATTCTGCAGCATAACTCCACAACAGTGGAGAAGCTGGACTGCAAAAGAATTGCTTGACAATAGAATAGAAAAGCAATTCACATCAATAGAGACTCTCTCGTGTGATTGCAATGAAAAAAGAAATGAGAAATGATAAAAATTTATATTAATTGAGAAAATTGAACCCTTCGATATAGAAAAATTGATGTGCAAACATAATGAGTATATTTCCAACACATTGTTATGCGTCTCTCTCTCTCTCTCTATTTTTAGACCCCGCCAGACACTAACCAGACACCCGAACATCACCTTGCTTCCCCACTTTAATAACCTCCACTCCACCCACTTCATTTGCCAATAATCAGCAACTTATTGGCCAATTGACTTCGTCTCATTCTCATTTTAACGATGATAACCGCAAAGTCATATATTTTGCCGTGGTTTCACGCGCTTTCCAGAACACCTCGAATGCAATATTCGCTTTTTTTCTCCCTCTTCTTCTTAAACTCGTCTCAAATTTTCCTCGCATGCACACAACTTATATATCGTGGAAACCATCATATGTAATTTCCAATCGAACCGCACAACATCTAGGCGATGACTTTAACCCTTTCAGGACGACATCAAACTATGCATTGAAGGAATTTTGTAGAAACAGAAAATAATCATCACTTTGATTAACATTTTTACCCAGAAAATGATTTATTCTTCTTAGAAAAGTCCTCTTTTGAGGGAATTTTGAGGTGAAAAAGTCATAAAAATAAAGACACTTTCAATCCAAATTCTCCCATATTTTTCTAAACACCCAATAAAAATCCCCCCAAAAGTCAATTTTCCTTCAAATCTCATCCTCCAATCGTCGTGTGTGAGTTAAAAAAGGGAGAGAAAATTGAACAGCATGAGTGTAAAATATCTTTCAAGTTCACAAACATGACCATTAAATGAGATTCTTGCACAACAATCTTGAAACATGATAGGATAATTGGTGTAATTCAGCCAACTTCCACTCACATGGAAAATCATTGTGGTTTTGCATCGAGACTCCAAGTGGCCAATATTGCATTGCAAATTGGAAGCACTCTCGCAGAAGACACAAAAACACCCAGATTATTGATTCGCAATCGAGCTGCGCTTATTTCATTACTGCGCGTCCAGTGACAATTCCACAGATATGCACAATTATTGTGATAAATGTGGAATAAAAAGTGATGCATTAATTCTGCGTATTATATTGATAACGTGTGTGTTTATTAGTCAGAGCTGAATGATTTCACTACCCTTTTATAGATTGTGAATTTCAACACTTCCAAATGAAATGAGATTTCAACAATGAAAAACTCGTTGCAACTTTACTTCCATAACATTTTAAATAAGCTGTCAAAAGTATTAATTCGTAAAAAAGTGTTGCAAGATTATACTTCATCATATTATTAACTAATGTGGAGAATTTATCTTTTGCAAAATCTGTAAAGTTTCAAACGTTGCCGTTTGAAGCTAATTTATATTTTTGTCGCGTAAAAACAAGAGAAGCCAGAAAATTTACGTGAAGACCAAGGAAATAAACAATAATGATGTTTTTATGTAAATAAACACATATTTATTGGAATTTTTTTGCCATTTGAGCACAATTCAATGCACAAGATTGAGGTTATGTGTTTTTGGACATGTTTCGAACCTTTCCGAGGAAACTGATTGGCTTCTAAACTTAAAGTTGGAATATTCTGCCCTAAAAACACCACCAAAGATGAAATCTCACACTTTCCGGCAGCTCAAAAGAAGCTGCAATGAAATGACTTTATGACAACTGAAATTCATATTAAATAAACTCCCAACTTCACCTTGCAACGCCTTCTCGTTCATATTTCATTCTTTATTTACACTAGCGCCGCCGGGCGGCCGCCAATATAAACTATGAAAACGTAAAGTTGCAACGAGTCAGAAATATGCAATTTTACATCTCTAAATGTCAATCACAAATCTGCGCAAGACACCAAAGAATGAATTTCTATCTATTCCACAAGTTTCCTGACAAGAGAAAAAGCAGCAAAAGTTCGCTTACTTTTTACTGTCTTCACTCTTTGCGGACAATTTAAAGTTGCAATGCAATTACACAGAAATTTAAATACACTCAGACAACTTGCTCTTCCCTCTGTTAAATTTTCTCACACGAAACATGCTTAATCTTATCCCCTAAAGCAAGAATAGTGGCAGAAGTCAAGAAGCCATCTATTGTAAACAATTCAATTAAGTTTCACCAAGTATTTCTGGCTCTAATTGACTGACTCAATGGTAAGTGCGATGATGGATGAATATCAATTCATAGTTGATTAATTCAGGCGCCGAAAATACTTTATCTCCACACCATGACAAACAGATGAAAATTGGTCTTATCGGAAAGTCTTTAATCCACACAGAAGAGTTTTATTGACCAAATTCAGCCATTTGAAGTTACTTTTTTTTATATGTTTATAAGGCATTGCGACCTACCACAATTTAGCATTAATTTGCTTAATTGTGAACAAATCCAAATGTAACTTCCTCTCAAGCATTCGGTCACTGAACTTCCTCACTCACCAAATGATATGAGTTGAATAAAGTCCCCAGCAAAGTGACATGCGACAGAGATATACAGTCGCACGAAATTAATTATTCCGTGAGCAGAACAATGAGGCACCTGATAAAGAAATAATGAAAATGATATGCTTCCCTCTTGGAAAGTTTCCACCCTCCTTTGGCGATGCATAGTAATGTGGAAAATGCACGCCAAGATTCAATTTCCCACGACAATTGAGCTGCACTCAACATAATTTCACTGCGCGCTCTTCAAACTCCTGCACAAACATCACATTCACACACACACAGAATAAACCATCACAATGAGTGCTGATTAGAATTTTTACACGCATTTTTCCGTGCTTTATCACCATGCGTCGCATTCACTGGCAGCTCATGTTGCACTTCTTTCGCCGATGCTCATGAATAGTCATGAGCATTGAAAAGTGTTTTAATGCCTCTCTGTCTGCAATTGCAACAGCATAACTCTGTGAACAGTTGCAGCATTGGAGACTGCAAGTGTAGCAGAGCAATTTGCAGCAATTCACTTGTGAATCATCGACTCGAGTTGGCGACACAAAGGATATAGTGTTAATTTGGAAAAGAGACCCAAATTGCCTCGAATAAGCTGAATGTCAGTCAATTACAGAGTTACAGAAGCCTCACGATGGTTTAAGGATTACTCTAGAGTGGAAAGAAATTCTACAGTGTTGTTGATTTACTTAAGTACACTTTATTTATCAGAAATTACTCTCAATTTCAAGTCTTTGATTGAAATTTTAGGACATCTTATTGACTTTAAAATTGGATTTTGAGATTTCTAAAACACCATTATATACTGATCAAATATTTGCAATTAATTCAATTTGACTACCTAAATTGTATGAAGTAAAGGAAATAAAACCTTTTTTCTTAAAAAATTCCGCATTTTCATCGATTTCTATCGTTTTTAGTTGCAAATTCTGATACGATTCCGATCTGAAACTCCTCTGACAGGCTCAAATATTGATATGTAAAGACTTTTCTGAGGAAAATCAATGTAAATTCGTAAATATTTCCCCCGTGACACACTTATATCGACACAACTGTGTGTTGAACGCAACCCAAATAGAAAATGTTCACAGGAAAAAATCTAAATATCGATTAGAATCTGATGTGACGAACAGTTTGTACTACAGAAGTTACATGTGACAGGCAATTGATAGGCGGAACTCGACAAATGTTCGCGCGATACGCAAAGTGAAGCTCTTCATGAGCATTAAATCATAAATTCTGTGTTGAATTTTCATTGAATTCTCCATGAATTGAGGAGATTAATAATTAATTCTCTTCCTTGACCGTTTCTCGCGTCGTACTTTCCGTGGGAAATTTGGCGCCGGGGGCACAATTCGGCGGAAAGTTCTTAAGCTCCGCTACGGTGGGTTTTTTGGTGGGTTTTTGGTGGGTTGGCGAAGGCACGAAAGGAGTGGCGCCCAAAGTTCAGTGCCAAGAACTCATCGACGAGCGGAAAGTGCTGGAGAAAGTCATTTCCTCTGAAATTCGGCGTACGCATTTCCTCATCCCATTCCATCTGCGGCCGCACGCTCAAGTGATTATGCAATCCGCGAGTCCCTCGCCAAGCCCCGCCGGGGCTCTGTGGGCCCCGGAAGGCTCCCGGAGGGCCGGAAAAGGGAGGGCGAAAAGCCCTTCGCAGGACTCGAGAGCCGAATTCGCGTGTGCGATGACGTTTGAGTGCCGCGATATTTATAGACACACACTATTTATTTATCAAAACACCGCGGCCATTCGCGGAGATTTACGTAATTTCAATCTTCACACCTCAAATTATTGATGTTTTCTGTGTAAATATTGGGCAAAAAAGGCAATTTTCCTGCCATTCAAGAGCTCATCGCGATGCTCAGGCAAAATGTCATTCGACCTTTTTGGAGGCTGTTTTTGACGCAAGATTTCCACATTTTTCGCATGATTTCCACCATCATTCCACTCACCAATTGATGTGATATCGATTAGAGGTGCAATTGGGGGTAAAACACGAGGAATTCTGGGTGAATTTTCACAATTTTTCACACACTTCTCGGCACAACACACAAAATAGCACGTCAAACAGCACTGGAAATGTCACAATTTGAGGGGAAATTTTCCAGTGCGCAGAGCTGAATTCCAAGATTTGTCTGCAGAGTGCGTGACGATGCAATAAAGTGGAATTTACTTTATGGAAACAGAATGGCTTCAAAATGTAACGAACTTCTCTCGCATGAGATTTTCTTGGAAATGTTCTGTAGAAATTGTAGGAAAAAACTAAACACATCTTGGCACTTCTATAATTTTATTATTATATCTCTTTAGACATTTATTCATATATATATATATAATTCTTTGCATGTTATTACTTGTATTGTCTGCACTTCAAATGTATTTTATTACATACACGAAATATACCATTAAAAGTTTTCATCTTTTTATACATAGATTTTTCAACTTTAGTGTAAATCAAATTACATTTTTCCTGTTAATCACTCAATTTTTCTACCTTGGATGACATGGGTTTTCTCATTTCATTCTTTCTCTCGGAAATATCACTAAAAAATCTCTCTTTAAAAACGAATAAATGAAAAGCCTACAATTCAGCTTTACATCCAATTTTGGAAAAGAGGTAACTTTACATCTCTATAGTTTTATGATCTTGCGGATCTAATATATTATTTCTTGGTATTTATTTGCCATTATTCACCATCGTGACGGTGCTTTCTTACGTCATAAACAATAACTAACTACTTTTTTTTGTTATCAATAATTTCACATTTCATCTTGTTCAACAATTAATCTTGATTTGAAGGAAACTCCCTTACAATAATTCAATCAGCATTAATATCATACATTGTTCAATGATAATAAAGTGTAACATTATAGTAATAATATGTGATATATTTTCATCAATCAATCAATTTCATCAATCTCTTGTATATATAATAATTGAACATCTTTTGCACGATTCTTGGAAGACTTTGATTATTTTTTTCTCTTGCTTTTGCCTTTTGAATATTCTTATTTTACAGTATATTTTTATTGTCATCATCATTGGAGTAATTTCATATGTTTGTCTCTCCTTCACTTCTCGCTCAACAATGCCTCAATGGAATGTTGAGAAAAGCTCCCGACTTAACTCTTTACGCTATCAATCTGGATCACTAGTCTAAGGACAAAACTCCCTCCACACACACACACAGGAGTGGAGACAACGGAAAAGGAGTAGAGATTGTGGAAATGATCGGAAGCCAAGCCACAGAGTATGTTTTATGCTTTTACACACCACCTAGAGAAAATGAAACACCAACAACTGGAAGACATGGATATCATTGTAAATATGCTCTTTAGAAATTGATATGGAATCGGTGAGATTGGGTAGTGCTCTCGCCCATGGGATGATGCGCGCGCGCCTTAGAAGGGCAGGCCGATCTCGAAGGCTTCAATGAGGGCATTGCCGGAATCGTAGATGCCAATCACGGTGAACAGAACACCGAGGGAGATGATGAAGTAGTCGTACGCGATGGCGCGCTGGTCCAGCAGGTGACCCTTGAGTTTCAGGTGGAAGTAGCATGGCCAAATGAAGCTCAACATGGTCCCGGTGAAGCTGCCAATGAAGCCCATGAGAATTTGGAAATGTGGAATGAAGCATGCCATGAGGATCGTGATCACCACGACGCCCACGCGGAACGCCAGGCCCCACACCTTCAGCTCGCCGTCCAGCGCCCAGATGGTGGGGAAGGGCGTCTTGGGCTTGCCGCGGAAGAAGTTGCGCTCGAGGAGCTCGCAGGCGGCATAGAAGGGCAGCGGATAGCTCAGCACGGCCTTGATCACGAGGAAGAAGTTCACGAGGCCCTTGAAGCCCGCCGAGTGCAGGTTGTTCGTGATGACCTGCTGGGTGTCGTTCTGGAAGGTGAGGAAGCAAAGGTAGCCGAAGATGGACTTGAACGCCGCCGCCGCGATGTGAGACCAGTCCAGCATCCAGTTGAACTTGGACCGGTCAATCATGTTGCCCTCGAGCGTGGGCAGAAAGATCTGAGATGTGTAGGAGAAGACAATGACCCCCAGCGAAATGGGGAAGTTCTCCATGTCGATGCTCCATTTGACCTTGCTCCAACCCCAATCGGAGATCTCGAGCAGACAGTAGCCGAGGATCACGGCATTGATCACGAGATGGGACATTGTGCACCAGAAGCTGAGAACCGACACCATGTGGAGGGACTTGAGGAAGCCGAGCGGCAACAGGAAGATGCCCACAAGCATCATCCATGAGCGAGAGTCGAGAGCACCCTCGGGAAAGGACCCAGCCATGAGATCCCCACACACAACCACATACAGAATGCACGTCATCAGCAGCTCGATGATCTGCGCCACATTCACCGCCCTGGCGCCGTACTTCGGCCCGAAGCACACCTTCGCGATGCCCACGTAGCTGTCGCGCACCCGCACGGGCTCTCCGGTCTGCGGATCCGGCTCGTAGAGGCACTGCACCAGGATCTGCAAGACAGCCGGCATTAGAGCCGCATTCAAGCCACCGCGCTTCATCATACCTTCCCAGTGTAGCAGCAAATGTGAGCCACGCCAACCATGGCCACGATGGCCCAGTAGCCGCCGCGCAGGACGGCGAAAGGCAGCGACACGATGAACATGCCCTGGATGGCGTTGGTGACATTCCACGCGGCCTGGAACTCGTTGATCTTCACGTCGGACCTGCACTCGCCTTCGCACGCGAACGAGCTCTCCGAGGAGCCGCCCACGCTGCCCTGGCGCCCGAAGCCGCCGTCCTGCTGGTAGCCGCCCTCGTAGTCTCCGGTGAAGGACGTGTCGGCCGTCTGCGTGAACGGATTGTAGCCTCCGCCGCCGCCGCCCTCCGTGCCGCCGTTCTGCACAAAATCACGCGGATTCCCGAAGGGATTCATCTCGTGTGTCTCCCCGACATCTAAAAGGGTTCAACATTCATTAGTTTTGTCGCCAGATTGACCTGGATTTCTTGTTTGTTGACTACATTTCCAGAAATCTGTTGATTCTTGCAAAAAGGATTAAAAATAAATAAAATAAATAATCCATCATTGTTTATTCCTTCATAGGTTTGAAAGCTTTGAAATCAAACTTAACTTTAGAATCCTTGAAATTGACCTGACAATAATTAATTAACTTCAATTTTTCAATTGAAAAACTTTCTATGAAAATATTTTATGAATGAAAAACATGAGAGTGTAAATACGGAAAGATACGGTTTTGGAAATGCAACAGTAGGCCTGGAATGCACATCGATTTCCGGCATCTCACCCTCACTGTCGGCAAAGCGGACGCTCTGTGGGCGCGCCGGGATGGGCGGAGGGGCGCCTCCGTGGGCCTGGCCGGGCTGCTGGTAATCGGCCCTCTTGTTGGGATCGGGAACCTGCTGGCGTGCCGTCTGCATGGCCACGTTCAGGACGTTCTTCAATGGCGGAAGTGGCACGGAGCGCAATTGATTGAGGAACGACATCCCTATTGATTTTTGCTGCTTTCAATGCCAGAAAAAAAGTTGGTCGCTCTGTTGGATTTTCGCCGTTGCGCGAGCTCAAGACTCCAAAAGCGTTTCTCAGTCGTCGAAAATGGAAGACTCTCTCGTGATTTCACTTGAAGCACATTATCACATTTTTTCACACGACACCCCAATGGCTCGCCATCGGATGTGAGATGCTGGTTCCACCGTCAGGATGATGTCGGAATTATGTAACACAGATGAGGATGGAGACTTTACACGCACTCCTCATGGGCAATTATCATTACTCCGCAGCTCTTCACACCCCACAAACACTACAATAATTGTATCTTATATGCCTAAAATTTTATTGCTGCAACAATAATTTGTTTCCAATGGTTCAACACAAGTTTTTCACGCACTCCCGAAAGACATTTTTACAGCCATCAGAGTTAACGTGGAAAAGAAAAAATGTGGATTTAATGGAGATGAAAAAAAAATCACACAAAATCTGCAAAAATGAACTTTTCACTCGCCTCACTATTGATTTTACTCGGCGGAGTCTCGAGTGTGCGACATGTACATAGGAATAAATTAGGTTCTTGTGCTTTTGATTAATTGTAGCAGAAGGAAGGTTGTAAAATCACAAAATTTCATCATCGATTTTTCTCTCCTCCGTGCGAGAAAACATCCGATTCTGGTGTATCACAAATTTGCCAAGTGAGAGAAAAAAAAGAGGAAGAAATGGGGTCACAAATGTTCCAATCAAAGGTGTGCGATGGAAAATTTCGACAGAAAACTCCAGTATTATTTCCAATTTCTCAGTCAATTTCCTTTTGCTCACAAGAACCCCAACACTTTTCTCTATGTATCTTGTTTCTTTTTTTTGGCCAATGTGAAATGATATATTGTCGAAAACAGGAAAAGGTGCTGCAAAACTAAAGCCTCACACACGACTGAGACGAAGCTCGGCAGGACGATGTCGGAGCCTTTGCTTGAATTTTCCACTTCCATTGTCGAGCTTTCACGCATGAGACTTCCATCGGCGAATATGCGCACACGAACACGCCACACTTTTCCTACCCCCATCGAAACATTCCGTCCTCCCCTCACAGCAAAAACCCCTTCACAGCACACCACATTCCGTGCCATCCTGCAATCCTCAATCATTTAGAGGTCAAAGTGCAACAGAAAGCTCAACAGAAACACAGGCGATTCGTTGCAAAAATTTTATTTATTTTAATGTTAATAATGCACACTTGCAGTGTGAATCAGTTTGTAACATAAAGTGTTAGTTGTAATCCTAAGAACTTCTATATAAAAATTTCCACTTCACATACTATGTAGGTATTTTGCATATTCAAAGTATATTTTGCTGTATATTTAAGTTGAAAATTTCACCTACAGTTGCCGCCAATGAAATAGAGTTACGTGAATTTCTGGAGACTTTGTGTGGAGCTACTGAAGAACTAAGAAAGAAAACTTCCCTTAAATACGAATCTTTTCGCTTTTCTAAGCAGTTTTTGCAATTCATCAGTTTAATTTTGAGCTTTTTCCATGATGACAAGTGCAAATTTCAAACTGTTGTCTAATTTCATCGGCAGCAACTGTAGTCGTACTTAGAATATCTCTACCGTGATTCCTCATTGGATCACCAAAACTATTCTGCATTCCTCTGGAGACGCGTTAAGGGCTAAATAATCCTGCACATCTTCTTCAAGATATTAAATAAAGAGTGGAGAGACAAGTGTTAGATAGAGATAATTTATGGGAAACAAGTGGATAGGAATTTCTTCTACTGCTCCTCCAGATCAAACTCCTTCTCCCAACTCTCGTCCGACGTGGACGACGCGTCCTCCTTGGGGAAGTGATTCTTCTCCATGTTGAGCTTCTCATCTGTCTTCTCCGTGGAACTGTTGGTCGTGGCAGTTTTCTGTTGCTGTTGTTTCTTACCCTCTGGCGCACCCTTCTTGCCTCCCGCACTCTTTGGTGGCGCAGCATTCTTCTGTGGCGTGGCTTTCTGTCCCTTTGCAGGAGTTGCCGTTGTCTTTGCGGTGGGAGCTTTTGGCTTACTCTCGCTCTTCACATTCTGCTTGGGCTTCGCCTCCTTCAGCTCGCTGGCCAGGGATTTCCTCTTCTCGCGCTCCTGAATTTCCGCCTCATACTCCGCCAAGAGGCGCGCTTGCTCCTCCTCAGACAACTCCACATCACACTCGAAGTCCTCGCCCTCCCACTTGATGTCTTCCTTGTCTGGTGTTGAACTCTTCTCCTCTGCAAAGTCAACTGCGTCATTTTCCCCATCTCTCGCCGAATTGATCCACGCGCTCACTTACCGGGAATCTTCTCATCTTCTGTGCACTTCTTCGGCTGCTCCGTCTGAATCACCGTCACCTCGGGTGACACAGTGTTCGCCGAGTTCTGCTCCTGCTTCGCACGGCGCTCAGCCTTCTCAGCATTGGCCAGGGCGTCCTCGAGGAGGGCTCGCCTGAAGAGGTATCGCTTCCAGAACTCCATGTGAGGAACACTGTCAGGCACTAAGGAAAGATACTTATCGTTGAGGATTTGGCTGCTGGTCAAATGCTTCGCCAATCGCTGCTCGGTGAATTGATCCTGCTCCACAACCTGCAACCATCTCTGGTACTTCTCTGCCAAATCATCGCTAGGCTCCGTCAAATATGTGTCATCGTTGGCTTGCAGTTCAGCTAAATGCTTCTGGAATCCCGTGAGTGTGACTGCGCCGCTGTTCGTGATCAGCACAGCCTCAGTCTCCTCCTCCTCAATACTGGGGATCAGTGCCTCAGAGACTTGTCCTTCAGAAACGAAATTTAGATGATTTTAGCAAGATTTTAGAATAGTGAATTAATGAGAAAACCTACCCAAGAAAGAACTTAAGCTCTTTTTGACTGTATTGGCCGTGGAATCGGGTTCATCAAACTGAAATAAACAAACTTCAGTATAAGGTTTCTTGGTCCTTCGAACCGGATACAAGAAAATTTCATCAAATATTTTCATCGGTAGTTCAGTGGTAAAATGCTCATGCGATTCCAAATCGCTGCTGCTGTTCGATATCTTTGCAGTTCATTTCAATTTCCCAATGTAGAATCTCGACAATGGGTGTGAAAACGTGAGAAAACAGCACTCAAAGCTTTCGTTTACCTTCAGTGAGCCAGCAATCGCTGCTCCAGCATTCGATGCTTCAGTGCGAACAGCCGTTGAGAGTTCATCCAGATCCTTCTTGACAGCCTCGAGCACAGAAGCACTCTGCAAAGTGGCCAGAGGAGGATGATCTCATGGGAGCCATTGGGAATCTGGGACAAAGATGGTGACATACCTTGTTTCTCGCAGAGTCAATAATCGAGCCCCACCAGCTGCTTCCGGACGGCGACTCGTCGCTTCTGCGATTGTCGCCAAGATAATCACGCCAAGTGGTGGTAATTGAGCGAAAAAGATTCAGATTGAAATTGATGCAGAAGTGAAATGGAAAATAAACAGAGAAATAATGAATAGCGATAACGTTGACATTTATTGAGGAAAATTTTGTGCGCAATTTCTTGCTCAACAACTCACCTTTCTGCCATCTCCATCGGGGCAAAGGAACTGTTTTAGCTCGTTTTGCACGATAATACTAATAATATTGCGATTGCACAGAAAAATCAAGTCTATTTTGCATCGTTTTCAACAGAACAAGAAAGAATTGCTCAACACAATCAGAGGAAAATATTACCTGATGGAAGTTTTTATCAAACTTTTTCTAAAACACACTGTCAAACTGAAACAAAGAATATACACAGTTATTTAGTAGTTAATATGAATTTATTTATTATTGTTTAGAAAAAAAAATATGTTTCTGTGATGTCAGTAAATTTCATAACATTTTAGATCACTTTGTCTATATATTTTTTAAACATATTTTTGAACAATGTTTTACTATTAACTATCATATAGCATCTTCAGTGTGGTGAAAACTGAAGTCCAACAGCTGAGAGGGGTATTTTCGTGTTGCCAGAGCAGACAACATTCAATCACGCACCGCCATCTGTAGTAATTGCTAGCAACACTTCTTTCCCGCCTTCTTCAATGCAACTTCTCAAGCATGGCCTTTTGGTATTTCGCTGGTGATTGCTGGCTCTTCACGTTGTCCACTATGTTTCCTTCTACGCAAAGAGATGGCAAAAACGAGCGAATAGTATTTTGCTGGGCCCATAAATCAGAAATCACGATGTGGAAAGCAGTTGGAGCAAAAAGGAAGGCCAGAAGATGTGGCATCGGAAAGAAAACTGAGGGAGAAGCAGAAGCAAAAAGGTATACAATTTCTGTCGTTGATGCAAAAGAACCGCCACTAGATTTATCAGGCGGAGAAAAAGAGAGTAATGCATAACGTTGGGGTTCTTTCAGAGGTATCGAACCTTCGCAGGCTCTCTGGCGTTGGCTTCCGAAAGAGCCTTCCCACCAGGGATGGGAAGATAGGGATTGACTTCGAGAGCTACCACTCTTCACACAACAGCTTCTCTTTTCCCATGCACTCAATCTCGAGGTGATCCTGATAAGAAGGGCAACGGCGAAGTCAGGAGTGGCGCAATTCTCTCGCTTCCCGCAGATTCGAGGGCGAATCTCGGTGGAGACATCGAAAGTCTCCCGCTGAGCTTTCGGTTGGAACCACATCGACGTGCAGAAGGAGGATCTCTGACATTTAGCAGTGCCTCTTTATTGGCTAAGAGACCACTTTCAGTGCTTCAAAGGTCCTCCAAATCTAGTTTTCCTAATCAAGTTCTTGGGAGATAGAGTGACCAATAAAGGTGACAAAGAGAGATACTTGAGGAGTGGGTGAGAAAATGAAGGTTGTTTCGGGGAACCACCTTCCAAACATAGATTTATTGATCGCACTAAAAGATTTCAATCATGTTTTGAGACCATCAAAGACTTTTCTCACATTTAAATACCCCCATTGAAGGTTTTCAACATACGAAAACGCCAGCAAACGATTAAAAAACAATAGCAAATGCGCCAAAGATCTCCCAAAGGGGAAACTAATAACATTGAGAATGTGTCACAGGAGTGTGAAATTAAGGAGAATTCTGGCCAGAGGACAACTTCTGGAGACACGAAATCAAGATAAAAGTCAGATAAAATATACAAACAATGAGCGCGAAATTCCAGATTCATCAAAGATCTCTTTTCCCCCAAAGTCTCAAGTTTTTGTGGTCTTGCGCCGATCTTCCTCTTCAGCTGGTCACATTCTGCGAGGGGACTATTTGCAAAACAGTAGCCAAAGAGAGTCCAGAAATCTAACAATCTCCGCGAAATCTTCACCAATATCGCATTTCAGGCATCTCTTTGTTGCGCTGAGCAAGAACTCTTGAAGAAAATCCCGTGAAATGTAGCACATTTGTGATTTGGACATGTGATAATCATTTGGGCGGCGCAGAAGTGGAAATAAAAATTGTTATATCGAAAATATCGATAAAGAAGCAATCAGGAGAAATAAATTGATTTTCAGAGTTGATAATTTGTTGCAAAATTAACACCCAATCTTTGACATTAAATCACTGAAGTGACACTAGAAAATTTGGCTTTAATGTAAATTTACAATTTGAAGCTTTTGGCTTTTCTTTAACAATTTCTTATACAATTACAATACATCTAAATCTCAATTTGCGTTCGTGCTCGTAAATCAGGCTTAATTATCTAAAATTTACACTAAAAGTTACGTTTAATCGGGTTTACAATCGAAAATACTTAGCTAATTAATTGCGTTTCACTCATTGGCCATTAAATACTGACTCTATTTGCCCAATTAGTCGTCGTGAATCGTGTCAATGCAAAGTAGAGACTGCGTCCAGGAAGATGACGAGCGCGGAAGGACGCGAAAGGAGAGGGAAAAATTCTTGCGATGCGCGGCATTCGGTGTGTCGATCTTCCTTGGGCGAATCGAAGAGGCCCATCAAGAGGGTGGCAAAAGGGAGGGCAGAGACAGAATATAAAATATAAAATGTTTGTGGTCACATTTGTGCGATCTGTTGGAATTTACTGCATTATCTCTCGCCAGTCTTCTATGGCATGTGTAAAGGGAGATTTAAGTCTTTTTAATCATATGTATGCGAGATATGTATAGGACATCGCCGCATAGAGTGCAGGAGGCGAAGGAAGAGCCTCTTCTCTCTGTGCCGCAATTGCCGCACGGCGATCTCGGGGATCTCGGCAAAAGGGGAGCCCCAGAGGAGACACACACGGCTCGCCGAGAGTCGCGCTGCTGTGACTGTGGCAAATGCCATAAATTGTGCAATCGAGTGAACTTGATCGCGAGCACCCATAAGAGAGTTGCCCAGAAGACACAGCCTCTGGATCTGCACTTTTTCATCTTCTTCTGTGCTGCGGCGATCGCCGCCGCGGGGCGAGGACGGCGGCTGCCAACTTCTGTTTGCCGGGCGGCGGGGGGCTGACTTCACGCGCGCACACAATTGACGATAGTTTAATTGGGCGGTGGACAATTGGGCCGCGCTCACATGTGATAATTGGCTATCAAATGCTCAATTGCAACACCGGACAAGCCATCCTCGCGACACCAAATATGCACAGCTTACAAAATTATAACCGCGTTATTATTATACTTACAAATTCGCGCACTGATTTGTGGAGGATAACTCTCGCCATTGCTCTCGCACGGCACTTAATATCGCAGCATTTGAAGGGACATCACGGGCCGAATTCCATAAATAGGCGGAGGAATGAGAAATGCTGTGCAATTTCACCATTCGCCGGTCACTTAGGCGCGGAGAGAGAGCAAAACATCGCCATACATCTGTTCATGTGCAGGTGGCAGAGCGAGTGTATTTCTGCTTTTTTCGGCCACATTATTGGGTTAAATGCCTAGAAGAGATAAATCAAATAATCGCGTATTTCCTTATACATGTGAAAAATATATAAACCGGCAAGATAAATTTATAGATCTCGTTTTGTCTTCAACTTTGGCGAAATATAAGGAGACATTGAACGGCCAAAGATGGTTATTTTTTCAGTTGGTGGCTCGCGCTCATAAACATAAATCACCGCCATTGATGCAATTGACAAACCATACACAACATCCAATGGCGAGTGAGAGACGCTCGAGTTTTGCGAAAATATCATAAATACCTCTTTTTTTCTACTCCGTCGAACACAATTCTGTGCCTGCAAAAGAAAAGTCCCCAGCAATGTCGCGCTTGTGTTTAGATTGGAAAAAATCGCTATATATTTTCAACATAGACGAGATCGCCTCAAAGACAAATCAATTATGCTTCAAGCACGCGAGATTGAAACATTAAATCAAACTTTAATTGAGGCTAATTGCAGGAATATTTATAGCATTCTGCAAATCGCTCCATTGATCTGATCGATTTTTCCTTCCATGGGAAAAATTGAGGAAGACTTGTGCATTGAATTGTGAGTCAAATCATGTCGCTAAATTCCCTGAGCACAGTACAATCTTCAGTTTCTTTGATCTTTACCTGCAATTGATGGATCAATTTCCACTAAAACTGATTTCAGACTGAATAACATCTTAACATAGAAATTCTTAAGCCTAAACTGAAACAATTCACACTTTATTTGTAGAATTTGCATATTTTTACTATAAATAAAAATAGTGTTTTTCAGGAAACAATGCTTATGTTAAACATTACCTCAAATTTTTAATAAAGAAAGAAATGCAATTAAAGGATTAAGATCAAGAAAACTAATCAAAAGTGTAATTTTAGCAGGAGAAAATTATAAAATATTGTATGAAAACGTGAATTTTAGGGTTTTCAGTTAGATTTGAGTTAGTTTTTGATTTAGATTAAAGTTATTAGTTGATTTTAGTCTTGTTAAAAAGAGTCCATGAAGTGTTAAAGACTTTTCATACCTTTTGACAGTTTTTCGTAGCAAAAATCAATCCTGTTTATGATTGAATTTCGTTATAAATCTCACGCAAACTCATTTAATTTGTATTAATGTTGCCTCAAAGTGTCCATAACACATCAAATGAGTGCAAATTTCACCTCCACAGATAATCTGTAGAAAGTCCTGTGCTCAAATTCGAATATCAATTACATAAATTAACATGAAAACTGAATCCAATCGATAAGAGTTTTGCATTTTGTCACCATTAAAATTAAATTCAAGGTAAATTCTTGAAATGTGTGAATACCATGGCTCTAATTTCACATATACGATATCACCATGTGAGTCTGTTTGCATTAAAGTGTTATGCTTCTGGAGTGAAAGAAGCGAAAACCTCCATATAAGGGAGATTAAAAGTGCATGATAAGAGGCCGTAACGTGAAAAGTGAACGCGACGAAGGAATGGATCGAGATCCATATCTTGACTATATGGCTTTAGGCATACGATCAATAAATATTTTATCGCGGAAGTTTTTCTTTTCAATTTAGGAAATTATTTCGAGAAATTCTTGCTCTGCATTTCATACGCGCAACAGCTAATATTTTCCGTGAAAGAGGCAAACTTTGAGAGATCATGGGGAAGTGCGCGAGTTAATTGACGAAGTTGAAGTTGGTTTTATGAAGAGAGTCTTTCCCACATTTATCACCGTATAGGAATGGCGAGCGAAAAAGAAGTCATTAGAGGTGGAGTTGAGGAATCAGCTATAAAATTATTTCCATGGAAAATATGTGTTCTGCAGGAATGGACGATTGGCCATTGCCGCGGAGTTGCGGAGAATCCGCGAGTGGGGAAGGAATTTTCATCTTTGCATTTCGATTTTATATGTGTATA